CGCCTCATGGCGCGTTGCGTTTAAATGTGCATGTGCAATCCCGAACAAGCACAATCAAATTCGATGCGGTCGTGCCAGTAAACAGTTAGGTCATTAACGCGTGAAACAATGTACGCATTGGCAATGCAAAGTTTACCGATTGCAGCATTTACGCGGTAAACAAAGTGGGAGAGGTAAAGACACCTGCTTAGGTCAAAATATTGCGGGCCAAGTCGTAAACACGATTCTTCAAAATCGGGAAACTTCAATACTCAAATAGTCAAATTTACATTACAATTCCGACTAAGAAGGGCCGACGAACACTCCAAGGCTAGATTCTAGTGACGTCATCGGCATAACAAGAGCTATCTAGAATTCACTGGAATCGCAAGCCTTTACGATAATATATAAGGAGACGCGCTTGACGCTCTCGCTCTCTTACTAGTTCAACCAAGCAGTCATCAAGATCGAATCGCCATTCTACAAGTTAACTCCACACATACAGATTGTCTCCAACATACGTAAGCTACGCTATGACACACGTTCTTGCGTACCATCAATCCAACTGAGATCGACTTCAACACACGTAAGTTACGCTATTACACACGTTCTTACGTACTATGAATCCAACTGAGACCGACTTCAACACACGTAAGGTACACTATTATACAGGTTCTTACGGATCACGAACACATGAACCAAGTAAGCAGCATATCAAGATAACGGCATCATTGCCCATCAAGAATGACGTCACAGTAACACTCCCCTCTCACAGCGCCCCAGAGGCCGCTCCAGCTTATCGGTAGCAGCAACCGGCGGCGTCAAGACCCTTCATCAGCGCATCTCCCTCTACTACTACGAATCACAACCACGAGTAGGAGAATCGCGCGCTGCGCCAAGAATACACTTACAAGATTATTATCACTGATTACTTAAAGAAACTCTCACCTATTCATTGTATCCTACTTTCAATCTCACCTCAATAGACCACTGATTATTTAATATATCATTACACCAAATAAAGGAAAATCAACTGATACAAAGGCCGTGTTGAATTATTGCATTGTCCATTCCACTTGCCAGCAAGCCTCCCCTCAACATCTCAAGGAAGCTTTAATCTGATCCCAGACACAAAGTAACTAGCATGACTAATTTTCGGGGTTTTCCAGATGTACTGACCCTTTCGTGTCTCCGACGTCAGTGAGAGGGTTTTCTTTAAGCTTTAAGATCGAGTTTAATGATATTCTAGCTTGATACAAAATAAGTAGAAGTTTTACTGAAGACTAACAACAATTGAATTATGCTGTTTTGCCAGACGTTTTATTGCATTGAGAAAGGTCTCGCAATCTCGAACATTATTAATAAAATAGAAAAATGTAAACAATGCACTTCATAATTGTATATAAGAAGATTTATTTATATCTAGTAAATTTCATCTGCAATGTCTATAATTACGTGAGTCATTACTGTGTTGATTTTTAGTACTTCTAATAAGATGATTTGTAATTTTATTTTATTTATTATTATAGTGATTACATTTTTTTTTAATTAGTGATATATTGATATAATATATACTTTGTGAAGTACCTAAACAACCAATGTATGGTATTATTACCATAATATATACCATTAACTTACTTGTGTATTGCGTGTATATACTTATATATTCAGTGTATCAGTAGCAGAATATTTTCATGATCATGTAACAAATAATTCTGTACACTGACAAAATTATAATTACATTCTTTTTATACTTTTTTTTTTATTATTATATTGACTATCATCACTTAAGAGTATTTAATAATTTTAGTTAGTACATGTTACGGATTACAGGAGTTTTACGCGGTAAACAAAGTGGGAGAGGTAAAGGCACCTGTGCTTAGTTAGAAACATTTGCGCGCCGAGTCATAAACACAATTCTGCGAAATCGGAAAACCTAACTACGCAAAATATTCGAATATTTCATTACAATTCCGACTAACAAGAGCCGACGAACTCTCTAAGGCTAGACTCAAGTGACGTCACTCTAACAATCAGCATGACAAGAGTGATCCAGTAATCACCGGAATCGCAAGCCTGTACTAGGATATTTAAGGAGACGCGCTTGACGCTCTCGCCCTCTTACTAGTTCAATCAAGCACTCATCAAGATCGGATCAGCATTCTACAGACCGACTCCAGCTCAACGTAAGCCAAGCTCATTCGGCGATCCAACGCTGCAGAGATCGACTCCAGCTCAACGGAAGCCAAACTCATTCGGCCTACTAACGCTACTACAAAGATCGATTCCAATACGTACGTAACGCTATTACACACGTCCCTACGTACTATCAATGCCACTGAGGTCGACCTCAACACACGTAAGCTACGCTATTACACACGTTCTTACGAATCACTAATGCACGGCTCCCGTCAACTAAGTAAGCAGCAACATTAATACACCAATATCGACGACCAGCCATATCCCGGTATACAGTACGAGGAATCCTCCCACCCGTCAAGCAGTGATGTCACACGGACATTCTCCCACCATCAGACCGCTACAGCGCTCATCCCTCGCCAGTGGCAAAGGCGGCATCATCGCTGCCCCCTACCAGTGACGCCACACGGGCGTCCCCCACCATCAGACCGTTACAGCGCTCATCCCTCGCCAGCGGCAAAGGCGGCATCATCGCGGCCCCCTACTAGTGACGTCACACAGGTGTCCCCCCACCATCAGACCGCTGCAGCGCTCATCCTACGCCAGCGGCAAAGGCGGCACCATCGCTTCCCCTTACCAGCGCGAGTCTCCTACTACCACTACGAATTCATAAGGAGTAGGAGAACCAAGCACCAAGCTATCAAGAATACACTTACAGAATTCTTGTCGCTAATATTAATTGAAGAAACTCTCATCTATTCATTGTATCATACATTCATTTGGACATACATAGATCGCTGACTATTATATTTATTATATTCAATAAAACGAAAGACACTACACTGAAAAGGCAGTGTTGAATTATTGCATTGTTCCTTCCACTTGCCAGCAAGTCTCCATCCACCAACACAGGGAGGCTTTTAGTCTGATCCCAGACAGTACAACTACAAATCATATAAATGAAAGAGCATAATCTTCAAATATACTACCATATACTCACTTTATTTACCTGACGGAAATGAATGGTAGTTGCTAATAATAACACTAAAATTTATATCCAATTACATTTTATGTATATATCTGTTAATAAATGACATGACAGGTAATTCAATTAGTACTTGCTAAAAATATTTATTCATTTTCATTTATATGATTTATTTGTGATTTTAATACAATTTTATTTACACTAACAATTATTTTATTTAATAATATAATTCTAATCTGATTATGTTTTGAAATGTGCTAAATTATTTTAATTATAAATATTAGACAAAAAATTAATTGTAAATCAACAAGCAGACCAAATTACGCTTAAAAAAATCTAAAAAACATATATTATAACGAGAAATGTGCTCAAATTTATAAAAAATTATAACTAATCTTAGTGTTTTATTCATAATTAATTTATAATTATCATTTTTTAATTATTGCAATAAGTAATTTTGTGCGAGAATGTAAGAATTTTCCCAAGTCATTAGACATCTGGAAAACTGGCTATTAGAGTTCCAAAAAATCAAATCGTTAGGCATCTAGCAAAAACATATCATTTAAAGTTGTGAAAAACAAGTCAAAAATATAAACAAAAAAACACGTAGTTTGACATCCGAAAAAGGGATAATAAAGGCAACACTGCAACGCATACGCTGTTGTCAAACTCAGCTACATATGATAGTGAAGCGAGAACGCGTCAAAGAAGTCCTCCTCATGGTGGGGATCCAAGTAAGAAGCACTCTGATTAAAGCCGCCAATAATGAAAGAATCAATTAGATTGGAGACGCCCAGAAAGAGGCACTCTGATTGGGAACACCAAGAAGGAGGCAATTCTGACTAGAAAGTAGATAAAGTCCAACTACGGAAGCTTCCCGGACATACTCTTGAACAAGACCAGCTATAAAAGCCACATTGGCTTCTCAATCCCTCCAACTACAAGTTGTTCCCGCTACAGATGGCGCACAGCTTCGCATAACCTCCATCTCGGCTCTCTTACGACCGATATTTAAAGGCAACTACACACGTGTTAAGATAAACACAATGGCATTCCAGTGTTCGATCAGAGCACTACAATCATGATAACCTCTTAGCGATAATATTCAATAGATTATAACCTGCTTCATTCATAGTAAATATATTTCAACACCACAAGATTATCAAGAAATATAAAGTTCGTCTGTAATTCACCATTTTGTAAATCAATTCAAATAAATAGAAATAACAAAGACATGTGTTAATTATTAGTCAGTGCATTCACCCTTTACTTGCCCGGCAACCCCACATAACATCTAGTGGGTTTTATTGTTCTAAGTTAATTATTGCACGTTTGGCTGACTAGTCAAATTGTGGGATTATTTTCCGAACAGTAGTATTTTCGTGATATTACTCTTTTTTGAAGTGTCTCTCCTTTTTTGATATCTCACTTGTAGTAATACTCTCTCAATATGTTAAACCCTTGAGACATTTCATACTCAGTTAAGTTTTCGTGAAAGTCCATTTAACGCTATTTCGGGAACGACTTACACTTCTTCGGATTGTCCGTAACACTGTTACTGGAACAGTAGTTACTGCCCCGGAAAAACTACGACATAAACCCGTATGTCCACTAACGCAGTTCAATAAACCGTAGTTACTTGTTCCAAGGGAGCTACGACAATCCGCCTATCAGAGTCCGAAGACGACTCAACGATTAGTCTTTGTAAGTAGTATCTACTACATTAATTACATATATATTGAGATTCAGAGTACTACATCGACAAGTACTAAGAACGAGGAAACTACTCTTAAAACGACAGCGCGGAATAAATTCCAGTACGCGTCGTCAAGTTTCGCGCCTGCCAGGGGCGTCTCAATTTAGTAACCCTCACCTTAGTTCAAGTTTGGAAGCTTACGAAAGTAAGCAAAACCCAGCGCAAGTGTCGACAAATCCAGTTTCGCGCTACTTTGCAATATCTTTCAATCATAAAGCTGCATTCATAACCTCAACCACATACGTGCTCGTTCAAAAGGCGCTAGTGTCGACGAACGAAACTGCGCGCCATTCGCCATTCGTATTCAACAATCAAGCTGCATAGATTATTGTACAGTTATCTCCGCAACACATCACTTCAATCCAAGAATTTAGTTCTACAAGTAATAATAGTAATACTAGTCAACCTTGTCATCAATAAATAACAGAATAAACAGCATATACATCAGCCATATTTATATTGTATTATTATAATATCCCTTCCACTTGTGATCTGTCATCGCTATCACACAACACCCGTGGTCTCTGAGTTGTCAACGGCATCAAATTATATCCGTCCAACCGGCCTTGATAAAACAAGTCGGAACGACGAGTTGCATTTTGCACAGCCCTCCTCGGCCGGTACTCTATCTTTCTTCAGTTGTTAATTGAATTGAAATTTGTAAATAAAATAATTTAAATTTATTTATTTGCAAGAGCAGAAGTATAAGAAGAACTTCTACATACTTCTAATATTGTTGTTTAATTATTAATAAAAACCTTTTTAAAAATTTAAAAAGTTTTATTTTTATAATGAATATTTTGATAGAGACGTATGTTCATTATATAACAAATCTTTTCAAATTTTAATATTCGTGGATATATTATATTTATAATTATATTATACAAATACCTTAAAAAATGAATATGTAGAACCATCTTTTACAGCTCCGTATGATATTTTAGTTTGTTTAGCTAAATCTTCCACATCATTAATTGAATCTTCCATTTTTACTGCTGTGAGAAAAGCAGCAAGATTTGCTGTATAACTTGATACCATAATTAATACAAAGAACCACCACATTCCAGCTACCATTCGAATAGATGGTGTACTAAAATTAATTATTTATTACTTTTTAGAAATTTGTAATTATATAATTTTACATTTTTATCTTAATGAAATAAACCATTATAATAATATTAAATATAATATAATATTATATGAAAATTTTGTATGATTACTTAAAAAAAAAAACTTAAAACTTTTTTCTAGATAATTATTAAATTTTAATCTTTACAATATTATATAAAATTGATTTAACTTCAAATTAAATAAATATTTGATTATAGTATTGAACAATATTTTAATTTTTAATAAACAGAATGTTTTAATAAATAATTTATTAATTACCGAGGTAAAATATCACTTCCTTGTTGCATTAATGAACCCATTGTTAACCACATCGAATTCATTAATGTGAAATTGTTTTCTAGTTCGTCTGGTTCTGGATTACATGGATGCGGGTTTATCCATTCTCCAGGCGCTATTCTATAATAATAAAAATAGCTTATGTTTTATAAAGAATTTCTTTTAAACGTAATATACATTTATATCTATTATTTTGAGAATATATACATGTATATATATTTCGAATAAGAAATACAAGGATTGTCTAGAGTTGTGTTTAAGTGGAATGCAAATTTATGTTAAAAACATGATTGAAAAATAATATGTAAGGAACTAAGTAAAGGATGTTGTTTATAAAGCTTATATAATGTTTATATAATATAAATAAATGTTTATATAATACCAAAGAAGTTAGATAACAAACATTTATATAAAAAAAGTTCATTTTCTTTTACACTATATGTTTGAATAAATGAAAAAATATACATAAAACACTATGAGCAACCGTATTAAAAAATACTAAATATTCAGTAGTAGTTTATAAAATGAATAATAAACTCTTCGATATGAAGGGAGATAAACAACAAAGTAACAATAATAGTCAAAGAATTGATGGTAATGAATCAAGTAATATAATAAAAAATAATTACATATTTTTTCGTTTTATAATTTTTATAGTTTAAGCTTTATAAATCCTGTTTTTCCATTGGTATTTTTTATAATTTTATGTGTTAAAGCAGTTATTGATATCAACAAATAATAATATATATTTTTAGATAAGTAATAAATAACTCTACCTGGCCTGAAAAAAAAGCATTAGAGAAACTATTAAATAAGCAGTTGCCATATACATCCAAACTTCTGTAGAAAGTGGAGACATAAAGGCAAAAAGTTTTGGTACTACCTTTTCTGGTTTACTGAAAAGAATACTAATTCCTGCAAAAATAAGAAATTTTCACTTTATTTCTTTTTAATGTAAAGAAATAGTTTAAATACTAAAAATAAAAAATTTTATTGGTTTAAAAAACTAAAACCAATACAAAAACATTAAATCCTACATCAACTTAACGAATATTAAATAATTATAATAATATTTTAGTTCAATTTAGTCTTAATCTTATGTTTATATTTATGACTTCATTTCCAGGCAATTATTTAATAAAAAATTATCCTTAAACACGTAATTATTATTCAAAATATTTGCTGAAGTGATAATGATAAATTTTATAAAAAATATTTGGGCTTAGAACTTTTTGGATATAAAGAAATTTTCATATCCATATAGAAATCAATACTTACACTGTTACGCATAATTCGTCAACGTTAATTTGTTTATTGGTGAAATACAAATGTTTATAGTAAACTGTAAGAGACAAACTGATTGTTATTGTTAATTTTATCTTATTTACAATAAGATACAAAAAAGATATAAGTCACCATATAGTAATAACATTAATATTAAAATGTTTTCTAAGAAGACAACATATTATATAAAATATTTGTTAAAATTTTTATTATTATTATATTACATCCAGCATCTTATTTTTTATATATTTTGACCTCTGCGTTGATTCTGTATATTTAAAAAAATTTATATTCTAGTTTTTCCAGATTCTAATATAGTATTAATTAATAATATATTATAATATAGTATTCTAATTTTCTCCAGAATATTATTTATTTAAATTTATAAGACTTATTTTTTCATTGGTCATGTAAATTCAGTGATACAGAATCAGCTAGCTTTATATAACCATTACGTTTTTATGCTATATGGTTATTACAAATTAAGTTTTTGGAGCCACTTTTATCGCTAGTGGTAATTATAGTAAATTATTATCTATGTTTTTATTATCTTTCACGTATTCAAGCGGCAATGAACAAATTTAATGCTTATTATCTACATTAATCTCATTTAAATCTATAGCTGTAACTGTAAATAATTTTTAACTAGTCTTCATAAAATTAAAATTTTTTTTTAAAATTATAACTAAAAACATTTTAAATATAGAAAAATGAATTTATTTCTAAATTCAATTACGTCTAGATCGAATAATATTCTTTTTCATCTATTATCATAGAGCAATGTTTTGTATAACCATCGGATTATGACAATAATATTCACTGATTTTATACACGTAATTATTTTCGAGATCTAAGTTGTGATCAAGTGTTTGTTGTATAGAAATATTAATTTGAAAACTACCATTTACTAGATAAGAATTGTTTAAGCTGTCAGGAGAAGCCTATTTTCATCATTAACGTAATCCATAACTTTAATTTATTTTTTCTGTTACGGTTATTTTTAATAATATTTTGATGATTGTGATTATATAGATCCAATATCCATTATATTATAGATATATTAGATATATATTATTGTTTATTTATATTGTGGATAGATCATTGCTTTCTCTACGTTATTTAATACAAATGTTATAAAAATCTTTTGTATTTTTTGTGATTTATTATTTTTATTAATTTATTCTATTGTATTTAATAATCCTATTAAAGTATTCGATTTTATATTGATATAATATCAAATTTACGGTATTGTGGCTATATTCATTTTCTTTTTTGAATAATTAATGTGCTCGGCCAGTCTTCTTCCAAATACTTTCTCATTTTGTGCCTAAGAGTCCTACAATTTTTTTAATGTAACATTTTTAAGTTTCGCTTTTTGTCAACAGCATCAATACTAATACATGAAACGGCGAGTTGAAGTCTGGAGATTTATAATACTTATTTGAAACATTGAAAATAATAAATATTTTCTGAAGTTTTTCTTTTAATCTGAAAAGATTTTCCTATTATGTATGAATTCATTTTAACAGTTTTTTTTACAATTAATTGGTTTAAAAACTCATAAATTTGAAAAAAATAAAAATATTAAGTAATTAAAATAAGATAATTTTTAGTTGCTTTTTATTTTTTCGCGCCCTTATCTTTTTATCATTCAGCATTGATATATGTTTATAATTTTAATTTATAGAAATTATTATTTGTATTAATTTTAATTAAATTAAAATGGCAAAATTGTTATAATTTTACTTTTAATTCAAATAAATTTGTTGTTGAATATAATAGAATTCTATTTATTTATCATCAAAATATATATAATTTTTAAATGTAAATAATATTGTATATCTGTATCTTTATAATGATTTGTATTAATTCTATAATTTTTTGAACCACACAATTGTTATGATTTTATATAGTATATCTCTTAGTTTCATTTTCTATATAGGTATCTTTCTTTTAAATATTGTTTCATTAGGAATATTGGAACAGTTAATATTCAACATGCAGTTTCGACTGTCAGTGTAAGTGTGTAAGCCTTACCAAATTGTACGTAAACTTTATGTACATAACTGGATTATTATTTATTGAAATGCTGTATTTGAAAAGATTTTTTTCTATTGAAATAGAAAATATCATTCTTATTTAAAACATTGTTCTGTTATATTTTCATACAAATTTAAATATATTTTAATGTATAATAATAGACTTACCCAAATTCATAAAAGGAGCTGTGAAATCTATTACACTTTGTCTTTCCGAGGTAATTGTTAAATCACATATAGCAAAATCTGCTTTCTGAAATAACAAGTATAATTAATGTATTCTATTAAGATTATAATAATGTTATAATATTATAAAATTATATAATTTTGTGCTAATTAATAATTCATAATATATATTTATTTTCATGTTTGCATTTTTTTATATTATAATATAATATATACACAATATATATTTATTCAATACAATTAAATTTTCGAAAACAATATGATGTAACTGTATAACTATTATACAGATTTGTGTGCTAAACATTTGTAAACATTAATGTTCGATTTTTAACGTTTTGTTTTTATGGCTGGAACTACCATTTCAATAGTTCAGTGAATTAATCACTCGCCATAATGAATTAAGAAAAAAGAAGGCACAAATGAAATGATTAAAGTATAATGTAATATATTTAAGTTCGATTATTAATTTATTCTGCTTATAAAATTATAATATTGTAGTGGTGTGTGTTCGGGATTGAAGCAGTCCCATGAATTTCAAACAAAAGAAAGGTCATATACGCAGTCCGGCGTACCGCATGTGCGCCTAGACTGACCGCGCGTGCAGCAAGGCTGACCATCACGTGCGCCTAGGCTGATCCGCACGTGCGGACCGAGGCGGGTACTCGAGAAAAATGTTTACAAACAAAACTCGGCAAGACCGAGCAAGTTTTCGATTTGAAATATTATTTACTGCCAGCGCTTACAAAAAAGGGACGCCTTCGAAACTTCCAGAAGCTTCGTTTTCTCACGCCAAAGGAAAATTTCTGGAAGGGACGCGCATCGACACTGTTGCTGGCGCTGCAGACGCCGCATGCACATTTAAACGCAACGCGCCATGAGGCGTGGTTGAACTAGTAAGAGAGCGAGAGCGTCAAGCGCGTCTCCTTATATATTATCGTAAAGGCTTGCGATTCCAGTGAATTCTAGATAGCTCTTGTCACTAGAATCTAGCCTTGGAGTGTTCGTCGGCCCTTCTTAGTCGGAATTGTAATGTAAATTTGACTATTTGAGTATTGAAGTTTCCCGATTTTGAAGAATCGTGTTTACGACTTGGCCCGCAATATTTTGACCTAAGCAGGTGTCTTTACCTCTCCCACTTTGTTTACCGCGTAAATGCTGCAATCGGTAAACTTTGCATTGCCAATGCGTACATTGTTTCACGCGTTAATGACCTAACTGTTTACTGGCACGACCGCATCGAATTTGATTGTGCTTGTTCGGGATTGCACATGCACATTTAAACGCAACGCGCCATGAGGCGACGCTCATTCGTAAAATCACTTCGCTCTCAATCAAGTGTAACTGCCGGTCAGTGCATAGTATACCATAAAGACGCCGCGTGGCCACATTTTCGGCAGCGTAGTAAAGAGTACCTGCGTGCATAGAAAAGATAATCGGCAGTTCTTTAATAAGTGATTACAGTGAAGCCAATGGAATTGTAATCAAGGGAAACATTACATACACAGCATCGAATCCATCCAACCTGCAGTTCACCAGGTACATCTTTATATTAATAAATAAACAAGTCACATCTCTCGCTATTGTCGATCGGGCACACTTACGCTCTCTCGAACTAACCACTCGACATCGTACAGGCCCGCTAGCACACACAGGGCACACTTACGCTCTCTCGAACTGATCCCTCGACATCGTACAGGCCCGCTAGCACACACAGGGCACACTTACGCTCTCTCGAACTGATCCCTCGACATCGTACAGGCCCGCTAGCACACACAGGGCACACTTACGCTCTCTCGAACTGATCCCTCGACATCGTACAGGCCCGCTAGCACACACAACAATCACTTCGCTCTCAATCAAGCGTAACTGCCGGTCAGTGCATAGTATACTGTAAAGACGCCGCGTGGCCATATTTTCAGCAGCATAGCAAAGAGTACCCGCGTGCATAGAAAAGATAATCGGCAATTCTTTAATAAGTGATTACAGTGAAGCCAATGGAATTGTAATCAAGGGAAACATTACATACACAGCATCGAATCCATCCAACCTGCAGTTCACCAGGTACATCTTTATATTAATAAATAAACAAGTCACATCTCTCTCTATTGTCGATCGGGCACACTTACGCTCTCTCGAACTGATCCCTCGACATCGTACAGGCCCGCTAGCAGAACCTTGTTTTAAAATAAATATATTATATTTTTCAGCCTTGTCCGTTATTGATTTCCTTTAAAATTATCCTGCCGAGAGACTAATCCACTGAACTATTGAATTGGCAGTTCGAGCCATAAGCTAACCCTTTAAATCCGAACAGTGTGAGTTCTTTTTTGTGTTCTTGATTATCTGAATTTTTAATTGCAGTTCGTGATGGCGCAAGTGACACTGATCTGATGGAACTGAATAGATGTTTAAACGTATAGTGAGTAATGACTGTAGACAGAAGCTTGAAGATTGAATAGTGCGCCCCTTATAATGACTGCTTAATTGTTACCATAGTAAACTGACTCAAAGACTGGCTGCTGCGTGTGAAGCGCAGCCCTTAAATATTATTGCACTATTTCTTAAAATGCCGGTGTTTTGTTGCCGTCAGGGCATAGCCTGGAAGGTTCGTTCCTATTGTTTTGTTTAAATATCTGAATCGCGCGTTCATTCTTAAAATGCCGGTGTTTTGTTGCCGTCAGGGCATAGCCTGGAAGGTTCGTTCCTATTGTTTTGTTTAAATATCTGAATCGCGCGTTCATACCTCTCCCACTTTTGTATTCCGCTTTTCAATTGTTTCTACCCGTAACAATTAACTTCAAATGAAAAGTTTTATTGTTTTATTTCAAATTATTGCGAAAAGTGAAAATTTTGTTACAAGTTCCTAAGTCTACTTAATATGTATAGTGCTGTTTTGCTCATTTATGTATAGTGGTAAATATTACCTATGTGTTTAGTAACTCTAAAAATAGTGAAACTTTGTTAGAAATGGGTTTCAATAACATCTAAGATCAGTAGAATAATTTTGCTATTCAATAGTGATTGAAACCATTTCACTTAAATTTTTTAATTAATTCTAGCTCCATACTTTCTACTATACCATTTTTATCTATATGAAAGACAATGGTATCGGCTTTCATATTAATAGAAACATTTCATTTAAGTGCGACAAGTTAGCTACGTATTTCTTGCACTTTTTCATCTTTATTTGCACGAAGGAATCTATTTGATTGCATTAATACTCTACTATAATAATACATATATTGTTGTAATATTATCTTGCTAATATTTGCTTGCTAATATTATATGTATTCTATTTATTTCATATTTTGCTTCATTTACTATTATATTATATAAAAATATTTGTTAACATAAAATTAAGCTAATTATTCTTAATAAAAATTTGTATATTATATAATTTTTTTTAACATCATATTCTGGAAACATTTTACTGAAAACAAATTTTTCAAAAATTATTTTCTAAATAAAAATTACTGAAGTATATCTTTGAAAATATTACTATAGTATTATAGGAAAATATAACTGAAAATAGTATTAGTATAACTAGTCGACTATATACGTAGTATAAGTCAGTCGAAGGTTATATAAAATTATATATGCTTTTATATTTTAAGTGATTCTATATCTACTATAATTATTCAATGATCAATAACAAATAATTTTCTTCATTACTAATGCTGTAATTTGCTTTTTCTAAATCATTTTCTATGATATTTTAAATATCTTAAGAGATGGATTTGATGAATAAATAAGTTACATGTACAATATTTATAATTATTCTAATAATTCTTGTTTTATTCTCAACTATTATTGAACACATCAGTAGTGAAGTCACTCATAAACTCTTCTTATACGTACTTTTATCGTAAAAGTTAACCCTTTAATCATAATAACTAATAATATTTCTTTTTATTTTGTAAAGATTTTATTTCATAAAAATAAAATACTTGAAGGAAGAAAACTTCCATTAGCTTATAGCATAGCCTTGAAATAATTGGTTATCTTTTCATGTGAATCTATTGCTTACAACTGAAGATAATAATACTCAGATTTTTATGCTATACTATTTACATATTTGATATAATTTACTTGTATAGTATTCTATCTAATCAATCAGTTATGACAAATCTATGTATTCCGATATAGGGGTATATTAAAGTAAAATTAATATTCGTTAATCTATAAATTATTGTTATTTTGATAAGAATATATAGCCGTATTAATGAACTCACATGACTTAGAATTTAATTGAACAAGTGCTTGAATGTTTATCGTGGTGTAATGATTAGTTACTATTACTAACTTCTAAAATATATTTTCATGTTAAATTTTATTATTGTTATAATGAATAATGTTGTAAGTATAGCGATGTAGATATTATTTTGGTAAATTATCAATTTTAATTTATTCGGTTATTGTATTAATTTTTTTATAGACTTGACAAAATATGTTTTATATACTGTCTATAGTTAGACTAAAAACTCCCAGGTGTTCGGTGGGACGATTGCGGGCAAGTGGAAGGGTTAGCGCATTTATTCAATAATTAACACAGTTGTGTATCTTGCTATTTTTCCCTTTATTTACAGACTACACAATGAATATGATTCTAAGATGGTGTTGAGAATCTATGAGATCTTGCAGTTCGGTGGTAATTATCACGTGCCGTTAGAATGCAGAACATGCAGGGGTAGGAGGTTGTAAATCTTTTGATCCTTGACCTACTCCGCTTAATGTTAAATGGTTACACTGAAAGTAAGAGGTCGTAAATTTCTAGTACTTTTTTGTATAATAACCGTTATGATTGGCGCGCTCGCGCCTTCAAAATGCCCTTGTAACCGGTGTTTTTCTCGTACACCCTTAGCCGTTAGCGGTTACTTCGGGATCCAACAAATGCCCTTGTAGCCGGTGGGTGATACACCATCAGCCATTCGCAGGAGCTTTGCGATTCTTTGCGAGCTTTGCACTCGCACTTTCAATGTCTTACGAGTCCGGAGCGTATATGCTTTCAATAAATGTGTACAAGGCTGACGCCTAAGTGCATTCAATAAATGTGTTCTCTATTAATTGACTTCACGGAAATTTTATTTGTCTTACCGAAATCTGTGATGAACGTGCAGGTGTTACGCTTCTAATTTCCTGATCTTTCTTGGAATACAATCAGCACTATTGACTGCTTGAACTATAGCACACTTAAAACAGTTGTTAAATATATTGGCTTCACTGTATTTGGCTTACTAGCTTATAGTTGCTAAGCCTGGCTAAATTATCTACGTATAATGAGTAAAACTGACTGCCTGTTATGTAGCGTAATGTAGTTGCTGTATTAAGTGATAACTGAGAACTAATTGATTAAGAAATTTACCGTGAGCCTACAAGTCTGTTGAATACGCACACGAAACTTAAGGCTTGTTCGTTTTGTTGTTGGCTCTGCTGAGAAATATTTACTGCGTGAATTCATTGCACGAGTTTTTGCTATAGAGTTTCAATGCTAGAGAGTGAGGCTCGTCGCGTGCTTGCCTTATATATCCACGCAGCAGCTTACTTAGCTGGTAATAAAGCATCGTTGTTCCTGTACTGCAATCTTATATGAGGCGTAGAAGGAAAAAGCTAGAAGATTCGAGAATTCTAAGAAAAAACAAGGCGTATGAAATTTGGATAATTACTAGCGATGCCGATAGTCACGGTCTTGGAAGTTGGGTCAATCCCGAACATATACCTACAATTTATATGTACAGTAAGTATGATATTTTAAGATTTTGTGAGTAAAAAGATTATATCAAATTTTAGATTTTATAAATGCGATAATTTTTTTTTAAATATTATATTATGTTTCTTTCTAATATTTTATTTTTTAATATTATACATGACTCAGAAATAAAACGAGATTATTATTGTATTAATGAACAAATTTCCTTGTAGATAACAAAATTTGATAGAACTAATTTCTCGTATTACATTAAAACTTTATCAGCACTCCTAGTCATCTAATCCTATAGACCACGAGCTAACATAATTCTGTGTGAATAAAAGTAATATATTTTACTGTAAAAGATATACAATTTAAACAAATAATATAATAAATTAAAAGATAAATAAATTGTTAACTTTCGTATGAAACAGCCTTTGCATTAAGCTGTACTTGATGAAACGAGATCTTTATATTTTATCTACATTATATATTATCTACAGAAATCGGCTTTTTTAACTGTTATGATCGTATTTATCTCCTTTTGCATACTCTCACATTCAATCGTTAATTTCTATAATTTCATTTCGTTTCTAGGCGTATATATTTTAAAAATATATTATTCATGGTAATTCAGGATTTTTATGTATTAGATATGTAGTTTCAGTATTAGATATGTAGTAGTAGATTATGTAAATTAAACAAATAAATATAAGTTTCTGTACACCTAAATTCGTTTCTTAGTATAATAAAATATGAATATTTAAATGAATTTAAGAAACTAAAAAATGCAATTTTTTACAGTACAAAGCAATAATTACTGCTATTAATAAATATATAATTTTCAGAAATCTAATATTTTTAGTGAAAGTTTAAAATATCTTTTAATTGTTATACATTCATTTTTTAATTTTATTTTTGTTTTTACTTCGATTTACCTCTTTTATTACAGTATCTATTTCTTATTTGAACTCTCTTTTCTCAATTGCATATCCTTTCTTTTTATTTCTTGATATTTTTGTTATTCTCAATAAAGATAGATGATATACCTTCGAGTGTAGAAGGGCCAAATACCATGCTTTGTGTAGTCGACTATTTTCTAGAACGGCAGTCAGCCCTTGACGGATTGTTGTCTGTACACACTGGAGAAGCGAACGAGCGTTCCTTGTAATGGCTACACTGAGAGAGCGTATGTTACATGACTTTTCTCTTTATTGTAGACACCGTGTATTGGCGTGGCTAGAGCGTAGATGACTGGTTAGGATGAGTGACTGATTGTGAGGAATAACTGATACTGTGCACTTTATGACTACCGACACTACGTACTAAATGACTGCTTCATGTTAAATACGTGGAGTCTTGATGCGAATTTCCGTAAGTATCAGCACGGAAACTAACTCTAGCTAGAAATAAGCTTTCGGCTATTTGAGAATTCCACGAAAGCAAATGTAACCGTTCAAGGCTAAGCAGCCTTCGGAAACGATCAAGAACTAGGCTTTCGGCTATTCGAGAATTCGGTCGACGTTGCTTCGCGAAGGCTAAGCAACCATGTAGAACGTTCGCGAAATCTAAGCTTTTGGATAATCGGGAAATCGGCGTGAGAAAATGTAAACTTTCCAACGATTGAAAGCCTCGAATAAATGCTCCAATTCCGAACAGTATGTGTTTCTTGATATATATAGAAATTAGAATGTTCTTTTTTATAATATTAAGAAATATATTTTTAAAGAAATTTATATACTATATAGATAGTATCAATAAGAAAATCTTTTGAAATACGTGAATATATTTAAATTAGTAATTAAGTATAAATAACTTTTGTTAAGAAGTTTCTGATTCCTTTTAAAATATTTACAAAAATACTTACAAGTTCTAATAACTGTTTTATAAGTCCATTCCACTGCCTTGTTCGAGGATTTAAAGAACCATAATTACCATCCTGAACGATTTCAAATTCACATCTAATTCCTAAAAAATTTTCAATTTTAGCAATAAGATCTATGCAGTATCCTTCATATTTTTTATCGCCTATTGATCTTCCTTTAATTTCATCTTCCACTTGCATTACATAAGGCGGGCCCTATTATAAAAATAAATACTTCATTACATAATTACTACTACATAATTAAATTTTTTTAACAAATGCATATATTAACCACGAAAATTCATAATAATCGGTTTATTTGTATGTTTATTATTCTATTATTGTCATAAAATATTGTAAGGCATAAATAATTTTTGATATTCTTAATATAATGTAATTTATTCTAAAATAACGTAACTAATATTAAAAATTAATAATTAAAGAACAAAAATTAGAATTATAATAAAGGTATAACGTATAATGTTATACTTAAATTTCTTGTAGACTCACTACTTAATTAAAAAATAATATTATAATTTTACAGAATAGAGAAATTCTTCAAACTGTAGGTATTTTTTCTGTAACAGAAGTATTTTATTTTACTATAAGATATTTTTAATGCATAGAAAAATTTATAACAAGTATTAGTTATTATAACGAGGAAATGTTGAAAATCGACTAATAGAATGCGTTTTATATATAATTGTTATCGAACTATCGTATATTATGAAACTATATATATATATATATAAACTGAAGTATTATGACACTACTCAGACATATTTCGAATATTGCTATTAATCACTTTTCGGCCTCTCACTCTCCACGAACCTATCACAAACTCTACAACATCATTATTTTTATTATTAATTATTGAGTTGACAGAATATATATTTATATATTTCGATAAAAATTGTTTATGACCTAATGAAAATAATATAACAAATTTTTTTTGGTAGTAAAAAGAATAAAATATATTTATTTTACTTAAATAGTTTTGTCATTGAAAACTACAAAAAAAAATTTTAACTTACAAATTTTTATGTAATAATTAAAAATTATATTAAATATATATGTATACACATATATAATTTATATATACATTGGTTAATTATAAGATTATATAGATTTAAAAATCTGTATTTCTGTCAGAATTTATGACAATCTCTAGTAGAGCGAAAAACTTTATTCGAGTGAAAAGCGATCATGAATAAATAATAAAATAACTAGTAAACATAATTGAAGTAGATACATAATAGTTCAATACATAGCAAATACATATTAAGATTTTGATAAAGTAATAAAGAAGACTTACTCAAATTCATAGAAAAAAATGTTAAAATCTTTTTATCATGCCAAAAGCTAATATAACTGATATTAACAAATAATATACATATTTTAAACAAATTAAATTGTATGTTTTACTGAAAATATAAATTTTATAAATTATTAGCTATAAAATAAATATATGTTATTATTTATTTGTATTAAATTTTATTATGATAGAATTCGACCGAACTTGTAAACAATGTATTTGAGTAGATAGAATTTTATTTATTAAATAAAATTAAGAAATAATTTTACTAATTTTCAACATTAATATTATAGAAATAGACAGAATTTATTCTTTTTTATATGAATTAATAACTCACGTAAATTTTTTCAACTTTTCCTTGATCTTTTACATTTTTTTGTTTTAAATCAAATATCTTTTTAAGTTTAATAGTTTTAACAAGTAGGTTGTGTTGTTATAAATTTTTCAGTTACTATGTGTTCAGGATTGGAGCACATTCCAAGAAAATTAATTCTCCGAAATTTATAATCGTTCTAGCTCACGATATTGTAAATATTGATTCCGAAATTTATTGATCATTTAAAGCCTTTGCTTGCGAACATCCTGTAATGTTTATCTAGTCTCCGCATAGCAACGACCGTTAGAATTCTCCAACTGTCTAAAGTTTGCTTTCCTAGAATTCTCGAAACTTCTAAAGCTTTAATATCGAAGCCCTGTACAATTCTCCGCATAGCAACAGCTGCCCAATGTTGCCAGATAATCAAACTTGTTCGAATATTTAAAGCAAGCAGACGTCGAAGCGCAGGCACTTGCTTGAGTCAACTAAGAGGAGACACGCTGTACTACAAGAAGCGACTATAAGAAGTCCCTATATCCGGAACTACATTCTGGATTAAGGCGCCGGAAGTTCTGTTTTAAGACGTTATTGTATCTAGAACTGCATTCTGAATTAAGGCGATAGTGCCCGTTAAATCTCGATAAGTGCCACAGCGCGCACTACCAAGATACACTGAGGTATTGAATAATTTATATTTATATATCAAGAGGAGACTTGCATTTAAAACACCATACGTGGCACTATACAAGGAGTGTCAAGGATTTATGACCTCTCACTTCTCAGTGTAGTAATTTCCCACTAAGTACACTACATCAAAAGGATCCGGAGATTTACAACCTTCAACTTGGACTTGCAATGCATGCTACCTCCACGTGAAAAAACCACTAATGAACGGCAAAATCTCAACGATTTTCACCGCCAACGTATAATGATAATTGTGTATTTGTGAATTAATATTCAATAAATAACACGAAAAGCAATTGTATTGATTACTGGATTAAAGCATTAACCTCTCACTTATTCACACTGTTCCACGAGTAAACTGCTGGATATGGTCTAATCCAACCATCTTGGTCCTTCGACCAACGGGTGACTAGAATTCCGAAAACTATGGTATTCTAAATAATATTGATACATTCACTTATCAAATTCTTGAATTTATTTTCCTCAAAAATAAAATTAATTTGATGTATTTCCATTTAATTTATACTATTAATAATTTTCTATTCAATGAATCGGTGAATCATATGATATTACTGATAAATATTGTTTTCACTTAAAACCAACTAGAAAAATAATAACACAATTAATAATTTAGCGTTTAATAAATTTAATTTCTTTATCTTATGCTATATTAAATGCGCATTAGTGATATACCTTTCTCATCCTCTTAAAGTTATTATTGCCTTTTTAAATAACTATTAAAATTTCGTATAATAATTTCATATAACTAATTGTACTTACCACGCGTGTTGTAACCTTAAAAATTTTATTTCTGGCTGCCTCTGTTAAAGTGTTGTTAATTTCTTTTTCATTTCTATTAAGTTTCAAATAATGTTTTTGCCATTCACCTACTTTAGAAATTCGACCCGCCTGTATATTAATAATATCTAACTTAAATTCTCTTTCTTTTTTTTCGTTAAAAGACATCAAGTTTGTTTTTTTTCCAAATTTTACAATCTGTGGACGAATCGATAACACATAATATAATTAAATACTATAATATAAAATAATTAAATGTATTATAAATAGTTATTTATAATTAAAAAATAATTTAAAATTTTTACAGCTGATAAGATATTTTATGTATAATAATTTGATAATATATAATATTCTAAAATACAATATATAATCTTCTATTGTGCATTGTAAATAATATATATAATAATAATATATTCTTTATTATTCCTTGCTAATTCGATAAGGTAGTGCAATATTATACAAATACTAAGAATCGCATACGTAATGAATGTTTTGTTTATTATAATACCTATTTTATTTTTTCCAATAAAAGCATGCTTTTATTTTTATGGTATTAATTTATGATATAAAATAATTGTGATTTTTTTCAATTCATTTTTATTAAATAAATTTAGATAAATTTTAAAAAATAATAAATTATTTCCCTGGCTGTATGAATGCAAATTTAAAAATTTCGTCTATATAAAAAATAACTTAGCACTTCTTTTTACCACTAATTCTTATAATTTTTTATGATTTTATTTCATAATATTTCAATTTATAATTTTCTTATTATTTTTATGTTTTAAGATAATAATGTTATAGGAGTGATAATAAAAATATTTTATTTCTTGTAATACACGACAATGTTACTTAAGCAAATAGAGCAGTAAAAATCTGTTTATATAATATAATATGAGATTACAAAATGCTACTATTATTTAAGAAATTTTTTTTATAAGATTTGACAGATAATTTAGTACAATAAAATTTTATTATGTTTGGTAGTATGCAGTTGAAACATTTGTTTATCACTTATTTAATACGTATTTCATATATAAGATTACTCTTATAATTTTATTAATAATGTATATAATGCTTTTAATAATTAAAAGATATTTTAGGTTTTTTAATGGTCTTAATATCAAACAACATATATTTAATATTTTAGTTAGTTTAAAACTGAAAATGTACTTGATATTACTATTGCAGGGATACGATGAATTGAAAAAATGTATTAAAAATAATAATTATTAATATAAATAATAAATAATTTCAAAATTGTAAATATAAAATATTTGAATACATATTTATAAATTTGTGTTTATCCATAATACAAATATTAATTTGATACCTATTTATCGAAGTCTATGCATGCCTGAATATAATATTATTTTTATAAATATTAATGTTATTAACGTTATCATTTGGTGATTCACCTTTTAATCTAACATTAAATTATTATATCGTATGCATGTTTTTAAAAATTAAATTAGATTATGTGCCATAGTTATTATAATTTTACTATTTTTCGGTTACAGAACCGAATGGGCGATTCATTATTAAACTTCTTCTCAAAGTCAAGCTTCATCTGAAAGATCCTGATAAACAACAGATTAATCTTTCATTGATAAGAGCTACTATCAAAGCAAATCAATCAATCAATATATTTTATGATAATTAAGTACTGAAAAACAACTAATTAATAAACATTAATTGTGTTCAATAATTTAATTATATATTAATTTTATTCGATACTTTTATTATAAATAATTATATATATATATTAACTGTATTACATTCAACAACTGTATTGTTCAATATTTTACAAGCTAATAATATTAAATTTACTATTCTATTAGACTCACAATTAAGAAGGTTATTACTTTCATTCTGTTCGTAAAATAATTCCACAATCCGACTCGTCAGCCAAACGTGCAAAAATCAATTTAGAACAAAAACCCACTAGATGTTGTGTGGGGTTGCTGGGCAAGTAAAGGGTGAATGCATCGATTCAATAATTAACACAGGTCTGTAATATTGCTGTTTAATTCATTTATTTTACTTTATTTTCAATGGGAATTATTAATCTTGGTTAAATTACAAATGATCTTTATATTTCTTAATAATCTTGTGGTATTAATATGTCTGTTTATTGGATAATTAGAGGATAATCAATTTCTTATTCTCTGCATGTCACTGGTGAGATTATGATTTACTGTAACAAGAAGTAGGTTATAATCTATTGAATATTATCACTGAGAGGTTATGGTTATTGTAGTGCTCTGATCGAACATTACAATAGATATTGTGTGTCAATTCAACACGTGTGCAGTTGCCCCTAAATATAGGTCGTAAGAGAGCCTAAATAGAGATTATGCGAAGCTGTGCGGGAACAACTTATAGTTGGAGGGATTGAAAAGCCATTGTGGCGTCTGTAGCTGGTCTTGTTCTAGAGTATGTCCGAGAAGCTTCCGTAGTTGGACTATAATTCGTCCGTCTTCTACATAAGCCGAGAAATCAAGAATCTGTACTAGCTGTAAGGACTATACTTGCAGTGATCGTGATTTTCCAGTCTCTCTTCGGTGGCTTGTTATGACGTTCCCTTGCAATGTTGCAAATCTTTAGTTCTTCCTTATCTCCAAGTGAGATTACAAGTGGTCAGGTCCTATGCAATCCAGTCTTGATGAGATCAATTCAACTGTACACTAATTCACAATCGTAGAAAGAACTTCTTATTGAAACTCAGCTAGCTAAACGACTTGTCTCTCCGGTCCTCCTCCGTGAGAGTAGGTCGTGACTTATCCTTCAACTGTGAGAAGTATTTGGAAAGAGTAAATCATGGTACACTACATTTTTCTATCTTAAATGCTTCACTGGTCCCACTCCACTAGGGACCCCTTCTTCTTTTAATTAACCAATCGGAGGTCGTTCTTAGGCAGCACAATAGATTATGCGTGGTACAGTGCATTTTCCTTCTTAAATAGTTCACTGACCCAGTTCCACTTGGGACCCCTTCTTCTTTCAATTGTCCAATCAGAAGTGATCTTAGGCAGCATGATGAATTATGCACGCCTTCATTTTCACTTCCTTCCGGACTCCGTTCCGAATGTGCTAATCGGGAAAAAGTGTCGGAAGTGGGGAGCCCTTACTATTGGTCACCTCTTCTTGATCGCCTCTCCCTTTCCTGGAATTTGGCTAGATGAAGGGTCCTCTTGGGCGTGATCGTTTTTCCGATGCGATCGACTAGATGCGGCGCACTTGGAAACAATGCAAGCATTGTTCCAAAGGCTTAGTCCGCACGCACGCCTATTGCTTGTTATCGCACGTGCTGAGTTTTGGGTTGCAGTGAATTTTCAGGAAATGTTAGTTACTCGTTAGTTTACGTATATTCGACACTCAGTTAGAATCTACGTCTTCTTGACAGTAAACACATAAATTTTACCGTATCGGGAAATTATGAGCACGCTTGAAAATAAGCAAGAGTAAATAAGCAAATTATTCACTGGAAATATTCCAGATATTTTATGACACGAGTCCTAGATGATTCTGAACAGGAAGTTTTGAAGTCGTAATGCAAATTTTACAATATTGCTTGCCAGATGTTTTATTGTATTAAAAAAGGTCTCGCATTCTTAAACACATTCTATGTTAATAATTCTCTCTGCCAATCATATTTTTTGTAATGTAATATGGTTTTTCGATTTTTTGATAGCTTTAAAGATTATCATTATTACATTCTATATATAAATATAGTGATCGGTTAAAGAACTTGAAAATGCTTATTTCTTTTTCTTAAAACTCCATTAAGGAATAATTTTCAAAAGAATTACCCCATATAATGTTGTTTAAAATATGACTAAGTCCACCAGTTTACTGGTGAGAGAAAAGTGTGGATAAGTGGGAGGTGTGGTGCTTCAATTCAATATTTAATACATCTATTTTTTGTGCTGTTTATTGCGTTATACTGTTTAGTTAAATATATACTCTTTAAATATATACGTGATAGGACACTTAGAACTGCCTACAATGGATGCAATTGTGGTGCTACAAGCAGTGGATGCAACTATGCACTTTTTTTTCATTTGGATGTAATGACTTTCCTTCAGATGGCTACCACTCTTGGGCTTACCCGAGATATCTGGATGACTTGAATTTTGCCAGATGTCTAACGACTTGGGTTTTCCAGATGTATAACAACTTCGGTTTTCCAGATGTCTAATGACTTGGAAAGGGTTCTTGTAATTTCAAATAAATCTAAAATATCATCAATATAGACTTAAACTTTCTTTTGAAACATCTCTCATTAATCGACTAACACAGTATATAAAAGATGAATACAAATTTACAAAATTCTTTTATAAATCGAATAAATATTCGACTGGTTATATTAATAAACTTCAGTGACTTCTGCTAGTCGGCAAATTGATGAGTGTTTCAAATTTATACTCGATATAGTGACCTAAATATTATACTCAAACTATGCGAGACTATTATTTTGTATAGTACTATTATATTGTACATAGTTGAACTTTTATAAGAACTATTTTACAGAGTACTTGTGTTCGAAATTGAGAGAACCCTTTCCAAGTCCAAGTCCAAGATTGGAGGAGATCAGCAACAAGCTATCACCATATGGTACTGCACGAAGAAGTATCAAAAGATATACGATCTTTTACCTCTCAGTGTAGTAATCTATAACACACGATATATCAAGAGGATCCGGAGATTTACAACCTCCTTTTCTTGCATGTAATGTATGCTGACGCTACATGGTAACCGACAAGGAACTGCAAGATCTCAACGATTCTTATCACTTACTTAGAATCATTATTGTGTAACAAAAAGTAAAACGCAATAAACAGCACGAAAAACAGATGTATTAAATATTGAATTATGTACCCCTTCCACTTGCCCGCACTTTTTCTCCCACCAATACAATCGTTGGTCTTAGTCTAATTCGAAATATTTTGGCTCTTCGAGCCGGATGAATGGAATTCTAAACAACTTGCTATGAAATACATCGATTAAAAAATTAATTTTAAATCGTTTTTGAAGTATATAATTTGTTATCTAATATCCAATATAGTCTGTTAAGTCTGATTTTAATATAATAATTGATATTAAATAATATAAGGGAAATTAATACATTGTGAATATACATTTAATAACGATATAAATCGATTGAGAAATGTACATAATTTAAAAAGGTACAGTTTTCCATTTTACAAATATGAATTAGAGTTCATATTTGTTAGATACAACAAATTATCGCATATCTGAAAGTGTAAAATAATGGACAGTGAACATCTTAGTAGTTAATTTTGCTCTCATTGTATTTTCTTCAGGTTTTTTTTTCTAATATAACACAAGTATTTGAGCGTGTTATTTTTTTCATAATACATATTCATGGAATAATGCAATTATATAAATTTATACATAAATACATGTTTTTATATCAATCTATAAAATAATGAAATACAGCAGTCTCGTTTATGTATCGGTAATTAACAATGACGGTAACGGAACACAAATAATTGTAAAGCACAATTTCAAAGATTGGCTGTTGATTGTGCATATAAATGAAAGGGTAGAATAAAACAGGAAGGTTGAATAAATTGATAGAAAAGAACAATGTTTTGGAAGGAAATAAATAAACTAAATAAATGTGAAACATGGAATCTCTTTCGAAATTGTAGACAACATCATTATGATATGTATAATGGTATTATAATAAGTTCGCATAAACATTTCTGAAATGGATGTTATTTAATTCAATATTTTAATCTACTAAAATACAAAGAAATTTGGTCTTATTAACATCTGTTCAGGAATTAAAGCAGTTTTCAAGAATTTAAATTGGAAAAAGTACAAACTCCTGGTCCCTCATGTTTGTACACACGATTCAGCGAATTCGGGAATTTTCCTACGTCTTAAATTCTAATATACGACAATATTTCCGTATAGCAACAGGTATCGGCGCTGTTACCGGCGCCGCAAGCTGCTACGCGAATATTTAAGAGCAGCTCGCCACGCGCCGGGCACTGTGCTTTTAACATCCACTCAGTCGCCACACATCTGGCTCACGATGTTTTTACTATCTACTCAGTTATCCATTATAGCTCACTGTAATTCCACACCTCGCTCATTCATCTGTTATTATTAATTAGTGCATTTTCATATATATAGTATCAGTTATCACGTGTGACCACAAGAAACGTAGCCGCATATCAGACAATCGGTCTACAAAACATACGTGCGTTATTATAAGAATCTTCTATGACAGGTTAGCAATGAGGTGCGCCAGTCACGCAGCCAAACTGCATGCCCTGTTGGTAGTTCATAAGGTACATCCTTTTATTATTTGTACAAGCTAGTCACCGACGCTCGAATCACACCATATATAAAGTCCAGACTGGTAACGCAATACGCTCTCTCAAGCCGATCAGACTAGAGACCGTACGTTCATCCCCTACATGTTATTACATTGTCTAGGTCAGACTACAGCTATCAAATAGTCGACTATAACTACCCAGTGTTAAGTCCTTCCGACCTCGAAGGACCTGTTTATCATTTATTGTTCTTGCGTGAGACTAACACTAATGCTTCCATATTCCCTTTGGAATATGATCCATTTGCGTAACTACTACCACAGACACTACAGTATTTTCTCCTTTTAAGTATGCTTACTCTCCCTACAAAGCATTCTTGATCACCATTACCATTATCATTACCATCACCATCTTCCCATGCTCATGAATTAGCATGGTCGATTTTTCATCCTGATCTTTACAACATCAGCATAGATTCAATACTTAACATACACAGTAATTTCCATAGCATCAACGACAACCAAGGACCCAAGGAAGCACCTTTACCACTGCAATAGAATACTTTTCTCTCTCTCTTCCTTGAAGCAATCAACAAAACTGCAATATTATAATAATTCATAAACCAGAATAAAACAGTATCTTCATTCAAAAAATATATTATATAATATTTTCAGACCTTCCACTTATGCCTTTTCCTCCTAATCGTTACGGCGAGAGACTAATCCACTGAACTATTGAATTGCCAGTTCGAACCACAAAACAAACACTCAATATTGAACAACATCAATGCCCTTTTTCAAAAATATTTTTAATGAATTATTCAAATACAATATTAATAACCCATACTGAAGTGTACAAAAAAGTATTGCAAATAGACACAATCATCGTACATAAAATAGATTCATGCTGTGGCATGTTTTTGTAATACTACTGATATTAATGTAATAAATATAATAGATATGTGTTCAAAAATAATTACACTAATCTGACTGGTAAGCCAAACGTGCAAAATCAACTTAGAACAAAAAAAAACACTAGATGTTGTTTGGAAAATGCTGGACAAGTAAAGGATTAATGCACTGACTCAATAATTAACACATATAATTATTAATGCTGTTTACTCCATTTATTTCACTTTATTTCCAAGTTGGGATCATTAACCGTGATGAGATTACAAATGACGTTTATATTTCTTAATAATCTTGTGGCGTTGAGGTATACCATTTTATTGGAGAACTCGAAGTGTTACGCTATAACTGGTGAGATTACGATTTACTGTGAAATGAAATAGGTTATAATCTATTGAATATTGTCACTTTGGAGGTTATAATCGTTGTAGTGCTCTGATCGAACACGACAATCTTGTAGTGTTTCAACTCAACACGTGTGCAGTTGCTTCTAAATAATGGGTCATGTAAGAGCCTAAAATAGAGGTTATGCGGAGCTGTGCGCCACCTGTGGCGTCAACAACTGACCGTTGCTGCGATGTGCTCTTCCAGTGTGGCGTGAATAGCTGTTCGTTGAATGAAATGAAAAGCCACTGTGTGGCGTCAACAGCTGGTCCTGCTTTTAGAGCATGTATGCGAAGATTGACTAGTCGGACTTGCAGCCGTCTGTTTTCAGAGTAAAGCCGAGAGACGAAGAATCAGTACTAGCGGTAAGGACTTACTTGCAGTGTAGCGTGATTCTTCCAGTCCCTCTTCGTTGGCTTGATGTGAAGTTCCCCTTCAATAATTGCAGCTCTTAAGTTACTTCCTTGTTTTCAAGTGAGATTACAAGTGGTTTGGTCCTATGCAATCTAATCTTGATGAGATCAATTTCAGCTGTATACTAATTCACAATCGTAGAAAGAACTTCTATTAGACTCTGCTGAACGACTTTGTCTCTGGTCCCCCTCCATGAAAGTAAGTCGTGGCTTATCCTTTCAATCGTGAGAAGAATAGGAATAGGAATAAGCTATGGTTCATTACATTGTCCTTCTTAAATAGTTCACTGATCCAGTTCCCTTTGGGACTCCTTCTTCTTTCAATTATCCAATCACAGGTTGATTTTGGGTAACACAATGGATTATGCACGCCTTCATTTCCACTTCCTTCCGGGCTCAGTTCCGAATATGCTAATAATAGGGAAAGTGTCGGAAAGTGGGGAGCTTTTACTCTTGGTCACCTCTCCTTGGTCGCCTCTCCCTTCTCTGGGACTTGGCTAGATGAAGGGTCCTCTTGGGCGTGGTCGATCTTCCAATGCGATCGACTAGATGCGGCGTAGTTAAGAACAATGCAAGCATTGTCTTAAAGGCCGAGTGCGGACGTACGGCTATTGCATGTTGTCGCACGTGCGGGGTTTTTGGGTTGTAGTGAAATTTAGGAAATATTTGTACTCGATACTTTACGCACATCTGATATTCGTTCAGAACCTACTTTGGAGTTTTCTTGGCAATAAACACATAAAGTTTTACTGCACTGGAAAGCATGAGTACGTTTTTAGATAAGCAAGAGTAAATAAGCTAAATATTCACTGGAGTTTTCCAGATGTATTGACCACCTCGAATGTCCATCGACCGTGGGAAGTCATAGCAAGAAATTGTTTTCGCAATCTCGAACAATATGAAATTATGAATATAGACATATTTCTACTATTCAACAAATATAGAATTTAAAAATTACAAATGCAGACAAATTTTTGCAAGTATTTGCAATTTATTTTTATATTATTTAGCCATTATTGTAGATAATAAAAAAATGTGTTTTATACTCTTTATTGATACAAATTTTAGTCGTCCATTTTTTCAATACTATTAATTTTAAAAGAGATACTCTATCTCACAATTTCTATTAAAACCAAATTTCTATTATATTTGAGTGAAAAACAATTGAAAAAAACAAGTATTTAATTATAAATATTAATTATATAATTTATGAAAAAATGAATTTTTCGTCATATAATTACTACAAAATTACTAAAAATAAAAAAATCTTACATTATTTTAATATATTTTATTATTCAGCTTATAGGTAAGTACATATTTAAATTATACCAATTAATATATTCTAATTTTTTACCATTTTAATCAGCACAAACTCTCATTTATGAAACAAACAAATGTTACTGTCATCTAAACTTAATTTATGATCAATATATTTATTTATCAAAGTGTGGAAAAAATAAAAACTAATTGAAAGTAAATTTAATGGTTCTTACGGACAAAATTTAATTATATATAAAAGATTTTTAGATATAACAATTTTTTCATTTTTTAGTTAATGTTATTTTATTGTGATGTTGGTATTATTATTATTTTAATGTAAATGTTAATATTATTTTAATATATTTTTCATTAACAAAATATTAGTAAAAGTAGAGATAAAATAAAAAATTATTACTTTTTATATTATTTTTTGCATATATTACCTTGATTACAGGAGAATTATAATATGTATATATAATATTTATCATAAGCAAAAAAAATTATTTTAAAAGATGTACCTTAAGAAAAATAGTCGTTAAATTTAATCCAACTTCATATTTTTCTTCTCCGTGACATGATATTGGTTTCGGCTGAATTTTTAAGGGACTTCCGACAAAATTAATATCTTTATATAGTTTTTCTAATGCTTCACTAAATGCAAAAACAGAATCATATATTAAAGCTGCTTCTATCTGAAATATTTTCATTATTCTTTTAAAAAATAGAGTTATTTTACATTAATTTGAAGTAATAGTAATAATTCTTGTTAAATATTTTAACTATAATTATAATTAGAATAATAGTTTTAATACCAATGAAAATGTAAATTAATCTAAACTATATTTGTGTTCGAATTATAGCGATGTAATTCTTGGCTCGAACTGCCAATGCTTCAATAGCTTAGTTTGCCGCCCGCCCTAGCAGACGCCCAGGAAAGAGATAGGTGGAAGGGCTATACAAGAGTCGTAAGAGTTGATTAATTATACATTTATTATATAATTTAATACACAATTTACATATGTGTGTTTTTTAATCTTGTTGAATCTAGTGTGAATATACGATTTCTTGAACGGCTTCTTGTATAGGATATGTCACAATACAAGATGCCGATCATTGCCATCGGCGAGAAAGAAAGTTGAATCGAAAGGTTTGAAAAGACAAATAATTAATGCACATTCCTTGTCAGAGAGTGTGAGATACAATTTCTTGAACGGTTTCTCGTGATGGATATTTCACTGCACAAGATGCTCTTGAGATCGTTAAATTATGGTGTTGTGACGATCATTGCCATCGGCGAGCAAGAATAATAAGGTTACGCGGACAGTGAACTCACAGTGATGTAGTATCTTGATCTGATCCTCAATTTACTGATTGACTAGTTGACCACTAAGCACACAGCAAACACTAACATGCATTGTCGTCCGTACTTCTTGTGAATGAAGCGATAACATCAAGTTAACCACAGAACACGCGGCAAACACTGTGGGCTGTGTGGTCAGTTTTCCCGTCAACGGTTTAATAGTAAGGTTGATGTATCTTCTTCTGGTCAGTGGATCTTCGCAAGTACTTGGTCACTAGTTTACCAATTCGTACGTATGCGTAAAATTCCCTCCCAACCTGGCGCTTCTCTATGGGATAGCCCCTTTCGAACTGACTTTTCCCTTGAGATAGCCCTTGGCTGCCCACGCGAGCCGTTTTTCTTGAATTCTCCCTACGGACAGCCACCTCTGCTGTCTTGGCCCACCTTTAAGGCTCTTGCCATGAGTCCCCACTCAAGGAGCTTCTGGTCTTAGTTTTCCAATCAGGGCGCGCCGCTTTTCGGCGGCATGATGAACGTGCACGCCCTTTTCCCACTTCAGAAGAAATTAGGCTTAGACAATGGAAATATCGAAAGACTATCTCTGGCGGCAGCGCATATTATGGAAAATTGCCCCTCTCCGGGCCTCAGCGTGGTGGGGGTTGATTCTTGGTTAAGCAAGCTTGGCCTATGCAAGCAGCAACATTTATCATACTTGACAACAATGTATGCGTATGCCCTCGTGTTATTGAAGGCATACGTGCGGCGCAGATTGCCGAAGGTCGCACGTGCCGAGATCGGATTGCAACGGATTTTAAGAAATATTTTTCACTCGATTGTTTTGAAATAATTTAAGGTTCAAAATATACTTTAGGAAACAAACTAGCCGGGTTATGATGGTCAGTCGCAAGGGGTCTTCATTGCATTCAAAACAATCGCCACGTCTGCAGTACGAAAGGCAAAAAAGTGGCTGCTTACGAGTATGTTCCACATATACTAACCTTTTTGAGTCTCCAGCAACCTTGGAAGACTTTCTTAGATTTTTATGTCCGTTCAATAATTCTTTTTATAATAGCCGTTGAAATTTTTCTAATGAATACATGTCGAGGAATTTTCGTTTCAATCTCGAACAATTTGAGTTTAACATAATTTCAATAAAATATGACTTTCCTTCAAATAAATAAATTAGATTAATCATAAATTTACTTGCTTTACTTCCTTTATAATGTAGACATAGTAATTTTGAATAAATCAAAAAAATTTTAATTATTTTATATTAATATATATCTGAAATTACATTTATTATTCCATGAACATATTAAATGGAGTTTAATATTTACCACGTAAATACAAAGAAAATAATTGCACATATAATTAAATATAGTGATAATTATTGATGTTTAAATATAACAATATTTTCATTGTTATATTATTCGTCAAAAGTAAATTCATTAAAAGTATGGTTTAAGTATTATTCATTATTTTATTAACGATGAACAGCTTCAAACACTAATATAATAAAAAATTTATTTGTCTTCCGAATGTTGAATAATTGAATTATATATTTATTATACGACTGACTAAGGTTAGTTTTATAAAGAATTGTTTCGGTTTAAGATAAAATATTCATTTAAAAAATTTAAATTAATTTTATAAAACCAATAACAATAAAATAAAAATAAAATCAAATAACAATAAAATATTAAAATAATTATATTTGTATTGCTTAATATTAAATTAATAAAATTTGTTAGAAATTCAGAATATATTATTTATAAAATAAACTTTGTTACAGTAGTCTATAATCTTTATCTATAATATGAAAAATTTCATATTAAAGACATAATTAATAAATAATATGAATTTTAATAAATTTAAAAGGTTGCTAATGATTATAATTCTATTATAATTTCGTAAATTGATTATTTCTTAACTATCTAATAAAGATGGAAATAACATCGTGAATATTTGAAATATAGTGTATTGAACTAAAATAAATACAATGATAATTCGAAACATCATAATTAAAAATTATTTAAGCTGAAATCATCGGAACAAAAAACCATAAAAATAAAATTTACCTTGTAATCATGTCAGTAATATGTTTAACAATGTTAAATATTATTTTAAATAATATTTTTTTATTAAACTGGTATTATATAAGAAATATAAATGTTTATATTATTATTTTTTATTACGTACCGATAATTCATTTACATCATTTTGAATTAATCTGAATTGCGTTATATTAGCTACAGAATCCTTTGAAATAAACTTGCCTATATTTATGGTAGATGCATCCTGAAATAAGTAAATTAATTTATAAATTCGTTATCTTTCGTTATAAAATATTCTTATACAAGTGAAAATAGTAAATACAAGCTATCTGATGAACTACAAAACGAGAATTTATTTATTTAAATACTTACATAATTGTACTGATATTAAACATGTGAAAATAAATTGCAAATTTCTCAATACTAAAATAAAATTTAGAACATTTTTCGTAAAATGATTGTTTTATGCTGATATACTGTATCATATGTATATGAGAGTAAATATATTATATGTAAGTATATTATCCAAAAATCTGTATAACTTGTGATATAATGAATTTTAAATTAATTTTAAGTGAACCCATCTAGACAATTCTTCAATATACAAAATTCAGAAAATTCTTATTTGATATTATATAACTTGAATTTCTCTATTTTTTATAAAATTATATTCAATTTAAATTACACGAATGAATTAACTCTTCCATATTTAATTAGAAAGTTTTTTTATTATCCTCCTTTATAAGTAGTACGATATAAATCGAGACGTTGAAATATGAATATTTCGAAATATGAACACTACAACACAATAGATATAACATTATTTTCATAATTTTATTTGATTATATTCTTTCATTACTAATGTAATTATAAACTTATCAAAATTTTAATAATTGATTTTAGTACTTTGGAAATCTTATTTGAAAAATTTTCTATCTATAAGTTGTGTAATTAATAGTTTTAATGCTTTCACAGTTTACTGATTGATTAAAATATGATTAAATACCGGTAATACAAGAATTTGTGTTTCATCAAAATAATTTTACACAATATCCATACATTGTTTACACTTATTTTGAACTTGTTTAGCTTACGTAATTTCTCATGTTTCCGTTTATATCTTTCTGTATATATAAAGGTTTGAAATTATAAAAATTTCTATTATGTTATACGATATGTGTATGGACTAAAACAGTTTTTATACAATTATGGTTCACAACATTTATATTTGAATAATTTTTGTTTTTTAAAGTACTAAATTTCTTTATGAATAAATACATAGCTTAAAAAATTTTAGTTACTTATTCTGTTTGAATTTATTTTTATTACTCGTGCCTTATCTAGATAAAGTGCTTTGCTCTTACAATCAATTTATTCTACAGTTAATAGGGATTTTAAGTAATTAATTCTTTAAACAAATATATAAATTTTATATAAATACAAATTTTTCCATTTTTAATTTTATTTATATATTTTTGTACATATTATATAAAATTAATTTTCCTCTTAATATTTTCGACAATTATCAAGAAATGATTATTTTATAAAATGAGCGATTTATTGCTTCCAATTTTAAAATTCAATTAAAAAATTTATCAATTTAAAAATTTATTACAAATTTATTTAAGAATTGATTTACGATTAATTAATTTTTAAATTTATTATTCATTAAAACAAATTGTTAAAATAAATTCTACTAGAACTTAATAAGATAATCTACTAGAACTTTACCGAAACAATAAAAAGAAATAAAAGTAGCAAAAAATATATGAAAACTACTTTTGGGTATGAATATACATGTATATTTAAGTATTTTCCTATTTAATTTTTTATTCGATAGTTAATAAAAAATTTCTTTGAGATATTATAATAATGTTTATTTGAGAATGAGAGACTCCTTTTAGTAAGGCAATAAAACATCTGGCAAGTAATATCATGAAAATTGTATTTAAGACTTCCAAACTTTCCTGCTCATAATTATGTTGCACTAGTGTCATAAAACATCTGGAAAACTCTAGCGAAACGTGCTCATACTCCCAGTGCAGTAGAACTTAATGAGTTTATTGCCGGGAGAACCCCAAAGTAGATTCAGAACGAATATCAGATATAAGTAAAGCATTGAGTACAAAACATTTACTTGATTCACTGCAACCCAAAACCCGTGTGACAACATGCAATGACCATACGTGCGCACTCGGCCTTTAAAACAATGCTTGCATTGTTCTTGGCTATGCCACATCTGGTCGATCGCATTGGAAAATTGACCACGCCCAAGCGGACCCTTCTTCTAGCCAAGTCCCAGAGATGGATGAGGCAACCAAGGAGAGGTGACCAATGGAAAAGGCTCGCCACTTTCCGACACTTTCCCGATTAGCAAATTCGGAACTGAGCCCGGAAGGAAGTGGAAATGAAGGCGTGCATAATCTATTGTGCGGCCCAAGATCAACCACTGATTGGTTAATTAATAAAGGAAGAAGGGATCCCAAGTGGAGCGGGATCAGTGAATCATTTTAAGAAGGGACTACGTAATGTACCCTCACTTACTCTTTCCAAATACTTCTTACAGTGAAGGATAAGTCACGACCAACTCTCACGGAGGAGGACCGGAGAGATGAGTCGTTTAGCTAGCTGAGTTTTAATAATAAGTTCTTTCCACTATTGTGAATTAGTGTACAGTTGAATTGATCTCATCAAGACTGGATTGCGTGGGACCTGACCACTTGTGGTCTCACTTGGAGACAAGGAAGAACTGAAGAGTTGCAACATTGCAAGGGAACGTAATAACAAGCCATCGAAGAGAGACTGGAAAATCACGATACACTGCAAGTAAGTCCTTACAGCTAGTACTCATTCTTGATTTCTCGGCTTATGTAGAAGACGGACGGATAAAGTCCAACTACGGAAGCTTCCCGGACATACTCTTGAACAAGACCAGCTATAAACGCCACATTGGCTTCGCAATCCCTCCAACTGCAAGTTGTTCCAGCCACAGATGGCGCACAGCTTCGCATAACCTCCATCTCGGCTCTCTTACGACCGATATTTAAAGGCAACTACACACGTGTTAAGATAAACACAATGGCATTCCAGTGTTCGATCAGAGCACTACAATCATGATAACCTCTTAGCGATAATATTCAATAGATTATAACCTGCTTCATTCATAGTAAATATATTTCAACACCACAAGATTATCAAGAAATATAAAGTTCGTCTGTAATTCACCCTTTTGTAAATCAATTCAAATAAATAGAAATAATAAAGACATGTGTTAATTATTAATCAGTGCATTCACCCTTTACTTGCCCGGCAACCCCACATAACATCTAGTGGGTTTTATTGTTCTACGTTAATTATTGCACGTTTGGCTGACTAGTCAAATTGTGGGATTATTTTCCGAACAACGATCATTCCCAAATTCTAGCGCACAGCTTCGCATAACTTCCATTTAAGCTCTCTTACGACCGATATTTAGAGGCAACTGCACACGTGTTAAGATAAACACAATAGCATTCCAGTGTTCGATCAGAGCACTACAATCATGATAACCTCTTAGCGATAATATTCAATAGATTATAACCTGCTTCATTCATAGTAAATATATTTCAACACCACAAGATTATCAAGAAATATAAAGTTCGTCTGTAATTCACCATTTTGTAAATCAATTCAAATAAATTTTCCGAACAATGTTATATATATTACTGAATAGGAAAATTCGAAATAAACTTAAGCCAATTAATTCTATAATTAAAAAATTAGATCACTCTTTCTATTATACTGCCGTATAATAAAGACGTATATAATCTTATTATAGTTTAATTATATGTAATTGTTCGATTTTAAGGGTTTGTTTTATGACTGGAACTGGCAATTCAATTGTTCAGTGGATTAGTCTCTCGTCATGATAACTTAAAAAAAAATAATAAGTGGAAGGGCTGAAAAATATTAAGTATTATGTATTTTTAGTAAAAACAATGTTTATTATTTGTTAAATATTATAATAAAATTGCACTGTTGTTGAGAGAGAAAATTAATCTATTGTAGTAACGAGGGTATTTCCTTGTGTTCTTGTTTATTGTAGATTGTATGGATATTACTATGTATCTTGAAAGTTGAACCTAAAAGTTATAAGTTATATCAGCCTGTGTAGTCGATCATGCTCATGAGGTAGCATGAGAAGATGGTGTTTGAAATAAAGTATGTTTGGTAGCAATAATGACAATACTAATAGTGTAAAAACTTGATGAAGGTTGGTACGTAATCTATTATGTCTTTAGCTATTTATGGGAGCCATAGAAAGGCTAGTCATACGCACGAGTTATAATTTCAAGCCTTCGAGCATTGAAGGTTTGATGAAAATGTATGTATTGTCGATTCTTCTATGAATTGTTGTCTGGATTTATCAATGTAATTGACATGTTACGTCAATTGTCTGGACTGTTTGAGGGACTACACGATGACGAAGTATTAGTTCGAGAGAGCGTACTCTATTACCTGTCGACTTTTTGAAGACGAGTTTTATGAAACTCAATTTGCGACTAGCTTATTTAAATAATATAAGAAATGTATACCTTTTTAATTACCGACAAGGTATGTTGATTTTCTGCATGGCTAGCGTACACCCTTTGATTACGATTCCAACAGGCTTCACTGTAAAATCACTACCTAATCTTGCTGATTTAATTTTGATAATCCACGTGTAATTTTAAATTAGTTGCCGAATATGCGGCCACGTGTCAACGTCACAATATATTAAAACACTGAGTGATAATAACAGTTGAGTGAACGCAAGGTAGAATTACAATGATCCTATACACTTTTTGAATACGCACACGAACCGAAGGTTTGATCGTTCCGTAGCGGCTCTGCTGAAAATACCGACCGTTCCATAGCGGTCCTGCTAAGGGCAGACTGAGACCCGTGTCATAGCTTCTACTGGTAGAGGGTTAGATCGGTTCACTGTGGTGGTTCACTGTGGTCGATTTACTGCGGTCGATGCACTGCGGTTGTGTCACGGCAAGATGTTAGCGGCAACCGCAGTTCAGCAAGGGTGGTTCGGCAAGAGATGTTTAGCATGAGAGCGAGGCACGTCGCGTGCTTCCCTTATATATCCATGCGGCGGCTCACTTAGCTGGCAATAAAGCATCGTCATTGTTTCACTGGAATCTTACACGAGGCGTAGAAAGAAAAATCTAGAAGTTACGAGAATTCGACGAAAGAAAAAGTAGGGCGTAATACCGATAGAAACTTCTGGGTGATGCTATTACCCGAAGACCATATAAACATTACGGGCCATTTAAAATCAAAACATAACAAGTATACGAAAAATTCTCGTCCAAGTGTTTACAGAAATTTGAAATCTAAATGACCGGCGATGCCGACAATCGACGGTCTTGAAACTGGCTTCAATCTCGAACAGTAATATTGTTTCATATAGAAAATTGTTTTAATATTTCTTGTTTCTATCCTTATGTATATAATATAAAAGGTATATAACATGATATATAAACAAATATAAATAAATTTGTACAAGTTTCATATAAATAAAATACAGCTTTTACTAGTTTCAGAAAATGGTTGTCTGAGACAAATGAGATACAAAAAAGTAGTTTTATAATATTAATGATATGAAAATAGTGATATGAAGAAAGAGGACAAATAAAAACAAACGTCAGAGGGAAATTAAAAATAAAAAGTGCAAAATTGTTTGAAATATTGATGAACAGACTTTTTCATATTAATATATAAAGTTACATAAATCATTCATATAAGACATTAAGCAATAAAACTAAATTAAAAAATAAAATACATTGATGTACTAATTACCCTCAAGTAATTCATTATAACGCATACATACACAAGTAACTAATAAATAACACAGACATATAAGAAATGGTTTTCTTTGGCTCGCCGAATAGGACTGGTATAAACGGAATCATTTCATTACCATCTTTTATATTATATACGATATTTAAGATTCTGAAATTTTTGCATTCTGATTTCCAATTAATTTTTATAAAATCTAATGCATTTATATTTGTGCATTTCTTTTCGCTCCTACTTCCACTTCTATTACACACGTAAATCTTCTCCAACATTTTTCTATTATTTTACCCTTTACTTTATTTCTATACATATCTTTCATTATTATTTTGTTTTACAGTGTTTTTGGTTATTTTGGGTATTTATACCAAATAAAATTAATTTTCAAAACTTAACTTGTTTGAGAATGCGAGAAAGTAAAATGCATTAAAACATCTGGCAAGCGATATCGTAAAATTCACACTAGCATTCAAACCCTTTTGCTCACAATTATTTGTACTAGTGTCATAAAACATCTGGCAAACGATATCGTAAAATTCACATCAGGACTCAAACTTTTCTGCTCATAATTATTTGTACTAGTGTCATAAAACATCTGGCAAACGATATCGTAAAATTCACATCAGGACTCAAACTTTTCTGCTCATAATTATTTGTACTAGTGTCATAAAACATCTGGCAAACGATATCGTAAAATTCACATCAGGACTCAAACTTTTCTGCTCATAATTATTTGTACTAGTGTCATAAAACATCTGGCAAACGATATCGTAAAATTCACATCAGGACTCAAACTTTTCTGCTCATAATTATTTGTACTAGTGTCATAAAACATCTGGCAAACGATATCGTAAAATTCACATCAGGACTCAAACTTTTCTGCTCATAATTATTTGTACTAGTGTCATAAAACATCTGGCAAACGATATCGTAAAATTCACATCAGGACTCAAACTTTTCTGCTCATAATTATTTGTACTAGTGTCATAAAACATCTGGCAAACGATATCGTAAAATTCACATCAGGACTCAAACTTTTCTGCTCATAATTATTTGTACTAGTGTCATAAAACATCTGGCAAACGATATCGTAAAATTCACATCAGGACTCAAACTTTTCTGCTCATAATTATTTGTACTAGTGTCATAAAACATCTGGCAAACGATATCGTAAAATTCACATCAGGACTCAAACTTTTCTGCTCATAATTATTTGTACTAGTGTCATAAAACATCTGGCAAACGATATCGTAAAATTCACATCAGGACTCAAACTTTTCTGCTCATAATTATTTGTACTAGTGTCATAAAACATCTGGCAAACGATATCGTAAAATTCACATCAGGACTCAAACTTTTCTGCTCATAATTATTTGTACTAGTGTCATAAAACATCTGGCAAACGATATCGTAAAATTCACATCAGGACTCAAACTTTTCTGCTCATAATTATTTGTACTAGTGTCATAAAACATCTGGCAAACGATATCGTAAAATTCACATCAGGACTCAAACTTTTCTGCTCATAATTATTTGTACTAGTGTCATAAAACATCTGGCAAACGATATCGTAAAATTCACATCAGGACTCAAACTTTTCTGCTCATAATTATTTGTACTAGTGTCATAAAACATCTGGCAAACGATATCGTAAAATTCACATCAGGACTCAAACTTTTCTGCTCATAATTATTTGTACTAGTGTCATAAAACATCTGGCAAACGATATCGTAAAATTCACATCAGGACTCAAACTTTTCTGCTCATAATTATTTGTACTAGTGTCATAAAACATCTGGCAAACGATATCGTAAAATTCACATCAGGACTCAAACTTTTCTGCTCATAATTATTTGTACTAGTGTCATAAAACATCTGGCAAACGATATCGTAAAATTCACATCAGGACTCAAACTTTTCTGCTCATAATTATTTGTACTAGTGTCATAAAACATCTGGCAAACACGTTTGGCTGACAAGTTGAATTGTGGAATTAATTTCCGAACATAACTTAAATATCAATATTGTATTTTTATGACTTTTAATCTTAATGTAAAAATCGTATTAAAAGTATATACAAATATATATGTATATGTATATAATCGATCATATAATGTATCAGTCTAATTAATTATAAGCAAGTCTATAGCGTGTATCTCTCAAAAAAAATAAAATATGCATATACAATGTATAACGTGGTAAATAATTAAATATTTAATATTAAAAATATATGTGCATCATATATGCCATGAAAAGTATATATATCATATAGGAAAAAGCTAGCTTAACTCTGTGAAAATATGTCATCGTCCTTATTAAAAAAGTTAGTCCGACTTTATTCTAATGGTGAAGTGTGTACGCACCATCTTCAGAGAATGGAACTAACTATATATTTTCACTTAAATATGCACATAAAATGTGTTTACAATACAAATAACATGCGGTTCGATATGCAGACGTGCACACAAGTTTGGTGAATTAGAAAAGGGTACATTCATATTAAGCAAGCATGTACAGTAAAATTCGTTTACAACTAATCATGTATGATATTAATTTATTTTATGTATATATAATTTTTAATTAACATATTTATAGTTTTCTTTTAATATAATTTATAAAATATAATTATATAATTTATAATTATAATTATATATAATTTATAAGCAGGTGATAATAATATAGTTCGACAAATTAGAGTAAAAATGTTAGAGGACTTAAAATAATTTGATATACGTACTAAATTCGTGATTAGACACATAAAATAATCATTCATAAGACCCATTTTGTTCATTGTATCAAGTAGTTTAGATAGGTTTTCATTCTCAATATCTAATAATAAACTAAACTGTGATAACGACTGAATTTCTTTTACGAGACTTTCATATACATTATCTCGGTCTTTCTCTGATAAAGCATTGATTTTTGATATTGGTGGTAGCTCTCTTATTGTAATAGGGTAATTCTGTCGTCCTTTATTTTGTAACGTTTTTTGAATACGTGTTAATGCATCGTTTGTTTGATAAACAAATGTAAAAGAATGCCAATTCATGTGTTTCACAATATCTGCAATAGCCTACACATATAAATGATGTTAATTCTAATAATCAATTTTTACAAGATATAGGTTACGTAGATGGCCTTTTTTATTAAAATTATGGAGTTATGATCAGATTATAATAAATAATGATTACATGATTCATAATACATTAAATACTATCTAATTTATATTGCAATTACAAATAAGATATAATTATAATACACCTAATAATTAAGATTATTAAGAAATTATACAATCCACAAGTTCTTTTTTGCTAGAATTCAATTAATAATACATAAGGAGGAATTTTCAGTTTGAAAAGTATTTTTTTTTCCTATATAATTGTATTTATCATATTTCTGTTATAAAATTAATCGCAATAAGAAATAAAAGATGATGCTAAAAAATAAAATAATTTTATACAAAGTTTCAAAACATGTTACATAATATTGTAATTAAATTAATTTATAACAATCAGTTTGACATGGAAACAAATACGAGTATAAGTTCATAATGATTGTATGGACATGCATAAATTATCAAATATTCACTACTATGTATGCACTAATACATGCCTTATTATGATTGACCTAATATGATTGGCCCTCATACTCGTACATTTTTTCTTCTCTTGCTCTACAATGCTTTCTGCATTTCACTCTGCAACACTAGTTTTAGATACCCACCTTCTTATTCGTATTTTTTAACATTAGTCAAAGCTATACATTATTATCTGCTCTATAGTAGCATTTAAGATGCATAAACTACTACGTACCCACTTTCAATGCACCATAACGCATAAAAGTTCTCAATTCATATATTGATATGATTGTTTCTCAATAATATTATTGATAAAATAACCGTATAGGCTTTGAAGAAGCTAACAAGTAGAAAATTTAAAAAAATATTATAACTACTTTCAAATTTGAATTTTAAGAAATACAAAAATATATCCTAAAGAGATTCTAAAAACAAACAGCAACATTATATAAAATCTTTATAATGTAATATAATATATTAATCTAAAGTCACTGTACTGTTTCATTTAATTTCTTTATTTTACTACTGATGATGCACATATAACTTAAATAATCTGTAAATATAGGCATGCAAAAAGTTACTATGTATTATAATATGCCATATATATAATGCAATATGTAATAATTATAATATGTAATCTGATCAATACACAACCTTCTGATTCATAAATTTTATTTTTATAACATATGAAGAACCTTAGAAAAATCAACTAAAAATAAAATATACTAAATGAAACTTTGCTAAAACATACTTATTTTCATTATTGTTTTTCTTTTGTTCTCCTTCTATTTCAGTTTTGTCTTCGAGTTTTCACTTCATAATAATTTGTATATATTTTACTAAGATTTACCTATGTTCCCGGAAATAGATTTTGACTTTTATATTATTAAAATACCCGTAAAATAAAAAATAATAAAGATACTGGTGAAATAAATATTTTAAACTCAAACGTGTAAAATTAAATATAAAAACTAGGTTTATAAATAATTAAATTTTTCCTAAATTCAATTTGTTCCAAATCCGTGATTTTCTGGCTCGAATTGCTAATGTTCGAAGGCTTGTTATAATTTTCCGCTCGTCCGAGCAGATGCTTGGGAAGGAGTTATATGGAAGGGTATAGCTTTAATACAGTGTGTGCTTCTTCGTTTCATATGGTTTTATTATGGTTTATTTACAACTACATCATTATTGTGTTAGATTTATGTGATGGAATGGTATATATTATGTTCAATCACGTTGATTCAATTGCTTAAACTGATTCTATAGTGAATAGTTTACCTGACGAGATGTTCCTTGATGTTTGTGCAGGATTGAAGCAATTTCCAAGACCGGTGAATCTCGAATTTATGGATCCCTCTAGCTCTAAAATTTCTGTAAACATATGGGTCCGAGAATTCTCTAATGATTGTAATGTTTTAGTTTCAACGTCTTACAATGTTTATGGGCCTCCGTATAGTAAGCCGTATAGTACGTATAGTCTATTCTCTGCATTGCAACATCTATCCATTGTTGCCATCTAACTAAACGATCGCGTGGATATGTAAGGCAAGCACGTGACGAGCCTCGCTCTCTCTTAGTGAAGACGCCACGACACGGAACACCATCTATCTTAGCAGAATCATCGTCAGGAACAGGCGCTCTCTACAAGAAGAACCGCGACGGAGTGAACATACTATCAAGAATACGCTATCAATTGTGCAAGCATTTAACAATCACACTTGCAAAAGGAGAAGGTGCTGAAGGAACATAGCAGTACCCTCTTCTCCTACAGATTAGGCATCTCATGCATCTTGATCGATCACACTCTCCTTTTCCATCCTTGACCAGTAAGTCCAAAAATACACAAGGTATTCACAAGCAATTACTAACACGATCACCACACAGACAGATACACACAAACACACACACACGCACACACATTCACACACACACATAATTTCCGCAGCACCATACGCAACCCTATTGTACGGTGCACCCACTCTCTCTCACACTTCACAAGACACCACAAGTAGCACTACACCAAGAGATAGAGAGCTTTACGACCTCTCACTTCTCAGTATAGTAAGCCACCACCATTCGAATTACGCTAAGAGGATCCGGAGAATTACGACCTTCTAACTCTACATGTAGTGCGTGGTACTACCAAGTGGAAATCTGCAAGGATCACAACAACGCTCATCATTAACTGAGAATCATTATAATGTAATTGCAAAAAAACGCAGCAAACAGCAACGAAAACAGATCTGTTAATTACTGAATAAAGCACTACCCCTTCTACTTATCCTAACTTTCTCCCATTAGTCAACTGCTGGTCATAGTTTAATCCAACCATCCTGGTCCTTCAACAACTGGACGACTGGAATTCTGAACAATATTGTTGTTGATCTTATAAGAATCAGCAACTGATTATGCACACTTTTATTAGTGAATATGGTTGTACTATACTAATAATAGCATCATGCTAGTCTTGTAAAGATTAGTAATGATTTATGCCTTAGACTTGGTTTATTCACAGAAAAACAGTAGCCCTGAGCTGTTCTGTGATAAATGGTTCACTATCCCGAATGTTCCATGTGGATGAATTGTTTTACCATCCCGAATGCTCCACGTAGATGATTTATTTCACCATATCGGATGCTCTGTGAAGATTGATGAAATGTGGTTGTAATCTGGAACTTTCTTGATTTGAAGGAAATAGTGTCAACTCTTTTATATTGACGCGTCTTCCTTCTTTGGTGGCCTAACAGTGTGGCGAATAGCTTTCTGGCTGAGTAGCATGACTGACTAGCTTACTAACTGACTAACTATACGCTTCGTCTTGTAGTGTGCTTGCTTTAAATATCCATATGGCAGCTTACTTAGATGACAACAATGCATAGGTGCTGCTTTACGAAAAGCATTACAGGATGTTCGATTCTAAAGCTTTAGAAGTTTCGAGAACTCCAAGAATCAAATGTTTACAAAATTCGAGTGCTAAAGGGTTTATACATTTCCGAGAGCCTAAGTTCTTGGAAAATGCTCCAATTCTGAACACAATTATATATAAAAGTATTGAAATAGATGTACATTGTGATAATTTCTTAATTGATATAATTTGTGTAATTTTATTAAATAATATTTAAAATAATTGATTAAATAATTTATTAAAGACAAAGTTTAAAAATTATAGAGGAAATTAGAAAAATATATATATTCGAGATTGAGAGAATTTTTCGTGTATTATTTTGGAAAAAATACCAGGTCTTAACTTCTATAAAAATTCTCCCACGGTCGTTGGAGGCTCGGAAGGGTTAGTAAATCTGGAAATCACTTGTGAACAGTCACTTCTATTATTCTTCGCGCTACAGGCGCCCTCATTGTTTTTAGTGCAATAAACGACCTATGTTATTTACTAGCAAGAGCGCGGCGAGTCTGTTTATGCGAAAATATTTCGAAAGTTAAGATATGTGTAAACAATAACAAGTTGAAAAATATTACTTAAAATTCATTGTACGAATTCATGAACGAGAAACCCAGCGTGGGCGACATCCGGCAATCTTCGGCACACGTGTACCTTCAATGTCACAAGATACAACGCATACATTGTTGTCAAGTGCGCCAAATGATGCCTCTCGCACAAGCCAAGCGACGACGCTTGAACAAAACCCCCCGCGTCGTGAAGTCCAGGAGAAAGATTCATTGCCTTACCTAATTCTGTGATGAGTGCGTTGATGGTGCGCTTCTTATTTAATATTCACTCTTGTAATGCAATCAGCACTCTTGACTGCTAAACTATGGCGCACTTAAATGGTTATAAATTATTGTGGCTTCACTGTTGGCTTACTAGCTTATTATTGCAAAGTCAAACCAAATTATGTGTGAATATTTTGTAAAACTGATTGATAATGGATAAGGAGTTTAGTGGCTATGTAAAGTAATAACTGATAACTGATTGAGAAAATTAGAGTGAGCCTACAAGCCTGCTAAATACGCGCACGAAACAAAAGGCTTAGTCGATTTGTGGCGGTTCTGTTGAGATTATCGACTATTCCATGGCGGTCCTGCTAAGGTAGACCGTGATCTGTGCCATGGCAACTTCACTGAAAGAATTTCACTAAGAGAGAATGATTCGTCACGTGCTTCCATTAAGATCCGCGCGACAGCTTACTTATCTAGCAACAATGCATCGTCGTTGCTATGCTGAAAGTCTTGATGACGTCAGAAACTAAACTCTAGAAATTTCGAGGATTCCAGAAAGACAAGCTTTAGAATGTTCGAAAATTTCTCATCGACGTTGCCATGCGGAAATATTGTAGGACATAAAAAATTAAATAAGGCGTAGACAATTTACGAATTCGCAGGATCAATGTTTACAGACATAAGCGTCACAAATCTTGTACTTTTCCCATTTTTAAATTCTTAGAAATTGCTCCAATCCCGAACAGTATTGATTTTATATAACAATTAAAACAAATTTAATACTAAAAAAGTTTTATTTAATAGAATTTTTATTCTGAAAGTTTACTATGGAATTTTTTAGTTATATAGCATATAAAATGAAACTTTTAATAATTATGAAAATTTATAATATCAAATTTTAATAAATATCAAAAGCCATCCATATGTATTTTAAATAAATAACTTTTTCACTAATGTTAGTGTATATAAATGTGTAAAAGTTATCATTTCATTTTTTATTATTTTAATTTTCATTAATATGTTTTTATTTCACCTACCTTTTGAAACATTTCACTATTTGGATAAACATTTATACTTTTTGAAATTATTTTTTCACTTGCTTCGCGAAAGCTGTATTCTATGTGCGGTACATTAAATCGTGCGGCTATATTTGAAACTATATTCCGCGTTTCAAAAGATTTTGGTCCAAATATTGCTACTATACCTTGTTGAAGTAATTCACAAACTGAAAAATAGGAATATTTTATGTATCTATTTGTATGCTAATTAAGAAATGTAAATAAATCATAAAAGCATTATTATTGTGCAAGCAAGTATTCTGTTTCTAAACTATTGAGCAAATGTATTATTCATATATTTTAATAAATGTAGATTAAACGTATTTGAACAACGCCTAACATTTCTAGATTTAAACAATATGATCAATATACTTGACCTGTTAAGGCAATTAAGCTAAATAAACTATATGCAAAAATTATTAATGAATGTATTATTAATATTAATTAAGTATTATCCGCTTCGTAATTTCATTTATCTTGTTTTTGTATTTTTTAATATGAACAAAAAAGCAGTTTAGTTTGTATGTAATTGCATGTTTTTATTAGTTTTATCTTCAGATATGTATTTTTTAATCTTCATCTTTAATTTTTAATTATATTTTGATTTGATTAAAATAAATGTAAAATATCCGATAGTTCTACTATAAATAAGTTACTTAATAAATATACCATTCTATCAATAATTCTATTCATGATGATACTGCAATGAGAATATATATGCAGATAATGCATCATGTTCAGGATCGATGCAGTCCCATGAATTTCAAACAAAAGAAAGGTCATACGCGCTGTCCAACGTACCGCATGTGCGCCTAGACTGACCCGCACGTGCGGACCGGGACGGATACTCGAGCGAATGTTTACAAACAAAACTCGGCAAGTCCGAGCAAGTTTACGACCCGAAATATAATATACTGTAAGATCACCCAAGGGTATTACTCCTACAATTTCTCTTGTCGAACATTCTCGAAGGTTCTAGATTTTTCCTTCGACGCCTCGTGTAAGAATTAGTGCAACATCGACGATGCTTTGTTGCCAGCTAAGTGAGCCGCCGCATGGCTATATAAGGGACGCACACGGTGCGCCTCGCTCTCTTGATGAAGATACCTCTTGCTGAAGATACCGCTTGCTGAAGAAACCTCTCGCTTAAAATCATCTCTTGCCATACCACCCTTGCTCAACTGCGGTTGCAGCTAACATCTTGCCGTGACTCGACCGCAGTGACCGACCATAGTGAACCGATTTAATCATCTACCAGTAGAAGCCATGCCACACGGCTCTCGATCTGCCCTCAGCAGGACCGCCATGGAACGGTCGGTATTTTCAGCAGAGCCGCCACGGAAAGATTAAGCCTTCGGTTCGTGCGCGTATTCAAAAGGCTCATTTGTAATATCACTTCGCGCTCACGCAAGCATAACTGCCGCTCAGTGTTTTTGTATACTGTGGAGACGACGCGTGGCCATATATTCGGCAGCATAAGTAATAATCATAAGTAAAAATACAAACGAGTATAGGAATAAAAAATCAGCAGATTTAACAGTGATTACAGTGAAGCCAATGGAATAGCAACTAAAGGAAAACATTAATTAAACAGCAATCAACAGACTTTACCAACACTTTACAAGGTACCTATTTTTATATTAATAAATAAACTAGTCACATCTAGCACAAGAAACCTGGGCAATTTCGCATCCCCTAGCTCTTCTACCGTTCCCTTAAAATAATTGAAGACAATTGATTACGTAATATATTCCATTAAACATCTTACACCATATCAAGTATAGTTATTCATACATCGAGCGTACTTGATTCAAACACCATCTTCTCATGCTACCTCACAAACATGATTGACTGACGACATCAGCTGATGTTTATAACATCAGAATTACCTCAACTTCAAAACACAGTAAATCCATAGCATCTACAATAATTTAAGAATACAAGAATACACCCTCACTACTTCAATAGAATTATTTCCCTCTACATCAAAGTGCAATATTGTTATAAGCATTTACAATAATAAACATTGTTTTACTAAATACACGATATTTTTCAGCCTTATCACTTATTATTTCCTTTGACGTTATCTTGCCGAGAGACTAATCCACTGAACTATTGAATTGGCAGTTCGAGCAATAAACTAACCCTTTAAAACCGAACACATCATAATGATTATAAGAAAATTGTTGATCTTATGATTCTTTTTATTTATACTTTATTCTATATTTATTTAATAATTTATTTAAAAATGATATTTTTAATATTTATTCATGTCTTTATTATAATTTTTTATTCTTTTAATTACCCTATAATTACTTAATTAAAGAAATAAAGAATTCAATTATGATGAAATATATTTTGATTATTGAAAAGACGTTGTTCAAGATTGAACTATCCAAGAATACAAAATTTATTGTTTATTATAATATGATTCCGATACATTATATCTATATTCAGGCGTAATATTTGATTTATTCGTTACGAAAATTCTCGATGTAAATTTAAGTCTCGTGCTATATCCGCATAGCAGCAAAGGAAGATACTCGAATCTACGAAAGCTTGCTTTCCGAGAATTTACAAGAGCTTCCAAGAATTACAACGCTAAATGTATGCAATCATATATATAGAAGCACCAGACGACGAAGAAAATCAGTCTTGTTGAGTAATTCAAGTGAAATTAGTGGCAGTCATCCAGTGAAAGTTGAACTTGTCTAAGGGAATCCGTGCAAGGTATACTCATTTGTTTACATTATTTATTCTATATTGCTGGCCAGCTATCGGTGTGTCCTCCGCAACGTGACGATAGTCAGATCGCACCGAGGGCGATGACATAGACTAGCATCTCCAGCAATTTATCAATACTACATATAATTTCTTGCGGCTCAGCGCCAACACTGTCGGTCAATCCCTTGCAACTTGATTTTTATCAGACCGCTAAAAAGGGCGCCGATACTGTCTGGTAGGCTCCGCCAAACTGCAGCACAGCACCGATATCATCAGTCACGCCTCTGCGTCATGGTTCTGGTCAGACCACTAAAGAGGGCGTCGACAATCCTTGATAGTCCCCACTAAATTCTTGAGCCGTCAAACGCTCCGTAAATCTATCACCGAAGTAAACGCTTAAGCATTTGCGAGTCAGATAACGCTCCGTAAAATCTATAACCAAAGTAAACGCCTAAGCATTCGTGAGCCGGACAACACTTCGTAAAATCTATCGCCGAAGTAAACGCCTAAGCATTCGCGAGCGAGACAACGCTCTGTAAAAATCTATCGCCGAAATAACCGCTTAACAAGTTGCAAGCCCGACAAGGCTCTCTGGAAAACCACTGCCGAATCAATTGCCTAATGATTCGCGAACCGGAGATGTTCCTTCACGGTAGGGACTAAACCGCGTGCCCAATACAACCAACTCATCCCCTAGCCTTGCACTTCCGGACGACATTCTATCACTCATGGTCAACTGGCTAATCACTATGAACTCAACAATTGTCACTACGATCAGTAACATCGACCACCACTGTAATAACTTCTTAAATAAAGGTCATTAAAACCAATTGTGTTTACAATCATTTGATGCATTAACCTCTCACTCATCCCCCCCCCCCATCACCATTAAACCGACGGTACGGTCTAATCCACCCAACTTGATCTGCGATCATACTGGTGGCTGGATTTCCAAACAGTCATGTTACAGTATTTTTAGACAAAAAGTGGCAGAATTACGAATGCACTACCAAGTGATATACTTATTACATAAGAATAATAATTATATAAATAAAATAAAACGTATTAATAGTTTTTGTTGATTATTATTTGAAATTTTGTTGAAATTCTTAAAATTGATTATTTGTTCATTTGTTTATATTATTTTAATATTTATATAATTTATCGTATTTTCCTATGTTTTTATTCATTATAATAATAGAGTGTAATCCTTATAAGACATATAATGGAATCAGATTATCTCTACATATTTAAATTATGTTGACTAATCTGTATTACAAAGACAAATAATTATGAAAATTACTCAACATTATTCCTTATTTATAGTAAAATTTGTACAATTTAAATTATACTTATTATTAAATTCATATTGTCAAACATAAATATTAGATACATGTTAACGTTATAATAAGATCAGTTTGTGTAATATTTAATTTACTGAAAGTAAGAAAAAGTATTTACCGGCAAAAGCGGTTGTGAAACTTTCCAATTCTACATTATGTTTTTTTACGGCCTGGAAATTAAAAAAATTATTTCCTTCATTATTTAAATCTCTTACTGCTTCATCAAATGCGGATTCTAATTTTTCATCTCCATCGTGAAAAATTGCACCTATAAATAATTGTATTTGTAATAATATTTACTAGTTAGTACTTTTTATAATTATTCCTTTTTACGATAAAATTTTTTATAAACATTAATTCCACTAATCCGGTCCGGAGGACCAAAATGTATAGAATTAACTATGAAAACCACTAGATGTTATGTGGAAGAATGCGTGAGCTAATGGATGGGTTAATGCACTGATTCAATAATTAACACATGTATTTCTTATTGCTATTATTTCCATTTACTTTCCAATTTAGGGATTATTGTTCTTAAGGAGATTGTAAATAAACCTTTATTATTCTCAATAATAAATGTGGCGTTGCGATATATTTCTATTGGAGAACCAGAAGGTGATAAATTCCTTATACCCTGGACGTAACGGGTGAAATAGTGATTTACTGTGAAAAGAGATAGGTTATTGACACTTATTGAATATTGCCACTTGAGAGGTTATGATAGTTTGTTGTGCTCTGAACGAAAGCTACAGTTCTTGCCTGCGTCGTAATCTTGGCACGTGTTGCTCTTGCGTCTAAATAGAGAGCGGTGTGAGTGAACACGAGCGTGAGATAGAGGTTAGAGGAATGCGCGCCACACAATGGCGCGAATTGCTGGTCTTGCAAAGTGAGCATGCGCGGGCAGCTTCTGGACTCGGACAGCTTGCAGTCCGTAACTGAGTAAGCCGTGAAGTAAAGAATCAACACTAGAGGTAAGGACTTACTTAGAAGTTGCAGTGTGATATTTTCAGTTTCTCCTCGCAGGCTTGATGGGAAGCTTCCATGCATGATCTGCTTGCACTTGAACTTTGCTTTATCTCTTTTTATTGAGATGACGAGAATCTCAGTCCTTGTGCCATATAAGATTGATGAGACTAAATGTAACTGGATATTGAACCACAGAAGTAGAAAGATATTTTCCAAGACTCAGCTGATCAACTTTTCTTTGTTCCTCCTTCTTGAGAATAGGTTGTGACTTTTCGTAAGAATAAGTGATGGTATATGGGTAATTGTCCTTCTTAAATAGTTCACCGACCCGGTTCCAGTAGGAACCCCTTCTTCTTTCTTGTATCCAATCAGAGTGCGACTTTGGGTGGCATGATTGATCAAGCACGCCTTCATTTCCACTTCCTTCCGGGTTTAGTCTTGCATATGCTAAAATCGGGAAAGTGTCTGAAGAGGGAGGGCGACGCCTACTCGTCTTCTCTCCCTTCTCTGGGACTTATCAATATAAGAGGTCCTCTAGGAACGCTGTCGATTGGCTAGCGCGATCGGCAAAATGCGGCGTAGTTGAGAACAATGTAAGCATTGTCCTAAGATTCCGAATGCGCACGTACGCCGATTGCCCGATGCCGCACGTGCTGGGGTTTTGGGTTGCAGTGAAAAGTAGGTTTATTTTTTATGGTCAAGAGTTTTACGTACATCTGGCACTTCCAATTGTTCTAGTACAAGCAGATTCGATGTGGTCGTGCCAGTAAAGTTAGGTCATTAACGCAAACAATGAACTCATTGGCAATGCGAAGTAACTAGCACGACTAATTTATCGGGTTTTCCAGATGTACTGACCTTCTTGTCTCTCCGACGTCAGGTAGAGGATTTTCTTCAAGTTTTATGATCGAGTTTAAGGACATTCTAGCTTGATACAAAATGAGCAGGAGTTTTACTGAAGACTAACGACAATTTAATGATGTTGTTTTGCCAGATTTTTTATTGCATTGAAAAAGGTCTCGCAATCTCGAATAAATTTAAACTAAGCAAAAACATATCTTTATATCACCTTAATTTTATAAACAAGTACCTTAATACCATATCTGATAAAAAAAATAATAAAATTTATTGATTTAAAAAATAAGCAACTCATATTATATTCTTGAAAATTGTAACCTTCATATTTATATATATATTTAAGTATACAGTTTATGGTTTCGTAATATACGCTATTGGATAAAATCATCGATTTTATTATTTACATATTAATTGTAATTGAACTAATATTTGGAATGGTATATAATTATTTATCTTATGTGTTTGATTTCTTTGATTTCAACTGAAATTATTAGTCAATGGAGATTAATCTTTCATATTTTTTAATACATATCCTATTATATTTCTTTTTTATATGTAGACTTCCAATTTTTTTTGTAAACGATATGTTAAATAATTGATTCATTTTTAGATATATGGTTATCGAATAATTAAAAGTTGTATATATACTATCAAATAGTATAAGAATTTATATAATCAACCTATCATTTATATAATAATAATTATATTCAAGTTTTCTCTATACCTTTATTTGTTTGAAAGTTGATTTTTTGTAACTGACAGTATAGTTTTCATATAATATGGGTTCGCTGACGTAAAAATTTGCTAAACAGGAAAAACATATTGTAGAAATAACATATGAAAACAAGAGAACTATTAAATAACTACTGCCATAAAGTCAAAAACCCATATATTGATTTTGTACAGTTTGTACATAAATTTCAAAATTCTACATTTATATTTTGTCTATTATAAATTCAACTAATTTATTTTCAAACTGATTTTTCTTTCTGATTCTTACTATTTCGCCATAATATTCGACCTCTCTATCTCTCCCTTATTCTTCGTTTATTCCAAATCTAAGCTACAAACACCAATAAATTATTTAAAAACAGTGCTAATAGGTTTGTTCGAAATTGTTTGTTTATTATTCTCTGGCTTGAACTGCCAATGTTTCGATAACTTAATTTACCGCCCACCCTAACAGATACTTAGGAAGGAGGTAAATGAAAGGACTACAGAAATACAGTATGCACTTTTTCTATAAATATGTTTATTATAGGTTATTTACAATTACACTATTGTTACATTGAAAATATATGATGGAACAGTGTATACGACATTCAATCACGTTGAACAGTTGTTTCCACTGATCCTGTGGTGAATAAGTTATTTACACGAGATGCACCTTGATAACGATGATGCTGTTGATTTTGTAAGAATCAACAACTAAGTATGCACGCTCCGTGTTATGTAGTGTGATGTTGATGATGTTGTGAGGATCAACAACTAAGAATGCACACTCCATATAAGGAACAGAATGCTGTTATTGATTGTGCACGAATCAACAACTACTAATATACACTCCGTGTAAGGGAGTACAACTAAGTAGTACAGATTTTGTTTACTCACAGTGATCCAGTAGCTTTGATATGATGCTGTAATAAGTAGTTCACCATCACAAAAGCTCCTTATTGACGATGATGAGTTGTTGCCCATTTTGCAAAGATCGGTAATGATTATGCACGCTCTAAATGCGGGAGCGTATCTTGGGTAGTCTGGCCCTTTCGTGGTATGAAGGAGATAGCGCCAACACGATTCAATTATAGCACAGGAGGGTTGATGCTTCCTTCTATCGGTGGTTCACTTATAACTTCCAATTCAGAGCGATCCACGGTCTTAGGCGTCTTCAATCAGAGCGCGCCTGTGTCTTCCGTCTTCAAAAAGAGTTTAGTTTCGACAGTGGCCATATCGGCAAGGGCGCCTCTAGCGGTTGCGCCTTCAATCAGAGAGAATAGTCTTATCGTGGCTTTCCCGCCAAGAGGAGCTCCTGAGTGAAGCGCCCTCGCTTGGCTTATCCAAGCAGCAGCATGGATTAGCTTGACAACAGTGGATGCGCTCTGTACCCTAAGATCGGAAATTTTGCATGTAACGACTATTTCCATATGTCCGACACTCGCGAAAGGTTCTCACTATCTCGAACAACGTTACTTAACTTTGAAAAAAAAGAATGAAAATCATTGTATTATTAAAATTCTAAACATTCTAATCTACTTAATTATTTCTTAATATATAATATATTAAAAATTTTATTAATAATAATTCTTGATTATATTTTAGTGTAACATGCATATTTTAAAATTTTTGTTATTAATTAAAACTCTGATGTGATTCTGGTAGACTATGAACAGTACAAAATTGCGTTATTTATTCCTACGATATTTTTAATTCTTTATAAGGTCTCCGAACTTTTACTAACAATGTGGATATTTTATTATATTGCTAATCATTAAAAAAATATTTAACTATAATTTCTTTAATTCATATTAATAGAATAAAGTTCAGAAACCGTGTATTTTAAACATTCATTATTTATTAATCTTAAGTTATGTAAAATATATTCTAAATAATAATTTGTCTTATAATTAACTGTTCGAAATTGTGAGAACCTTTTCCTATGCCATAAAACATCTAGCAAAACAACAGTATTAGACTCGGGAAAACTCAACTTATTGGGCAGCCGCAAGGAATCGCTACGTCCGAAGAGACGACTAAGCTTCGTAATTGAAGACGAAGCCACAAGAGGCACTGCCCTCGCTCTGTGAGTAAGAAACTCTCTGATTAGACACAAAAAAGGGAGGGATCCAAAGTGAAATTCATGATCAGTGAATATATTTAAGAGAGACAATTACAAGATTCAAACACTTTCGGTAAAGTTCTTATTCAAATAGGAAGTAGAAAGTCACTTAAATGTACTTCAAAGACAACTTTCGTTACAAGTCCTCAAGGAAAGAAAACCTATAATGTTCCTTTACCGGAGTCCGAAGATCTGTATCAGTTGAAGTCCTCATTGAAGAAGGCAGTGGCAAAGTCCCTCAACTAAGTCCAAGATTAGTCTTGGTATATAGTATCAACTACTTTAGGCATCATAGTCATGAACTAAAATTCGGGGTCTAAGAAACCAGGTCATCGAACATGCATACAGGATTGGGGTACCTCACAGGTACATGTAAAATTATCTTAATTAATTTCTACTGTCAGTACTCAAGGAGAAGCCAGTGCCCCAAACACATGTAGCACGTGTTGACAAGTTTTCGCACCATTTACCCTTTGCCATTTACCTTGTCGACCTAACCTTTTCGAGTCTGCCGCTCACGAAGCCGATTATCGCGCCGATAATAGTAGAGACACCACGTGACCTTTTCAAGGAAGTAATAAGAGTTTTACACCCTCTTACTTCCCAAG